CTCCCACGAGTCCAGGCGCCGTACGAAGGTATTGGCCTCACCCTAGATTACAGTACGGAATGAATCAAGGGTTTTCGCTACTGTAGGGTTACGGTGACATGTGCGAGGGTTTTGTGCCAAAAACAAGGGAAGAACATTAGGGTCGACCCGACCACTTGTCAAGACATAGATGGTCTATTTCAGTTAAAACTCGAAGAAATTTGCACCGACTAACTGCTGAGCGGTTTTCAAGAAAAAATTATGGCTTTTCTTAGCAAACCGCAGAAAAAAAACTGTTCGCAACAGGGTTCAACAACATTAAGGAAACAATTTCAAAAAAAAGTCGTCTAGAATGGTCATTCAATAGGGCCGGCAGATAACGAATATAGATTTGAGCTTAGCGTCCTATACCGAAATGAACAGAATATGCAGATATTGTTGAACGGCTTGATCCACTTACCAGGGAAGACACTTTGGTCGCAGTGGCCATATGGAAAGTGATGCATATGGATAGAGAGCTCCTCGAACGCTGATCTCAAAACTGCTTTCGCTATCTGCGGAGCGTTTCTGTAAAAGGAGTTATGAGTCTTTGTTCTCCCTTTATCAAGACGCAGGAAGGCATGTATAGGCTGTATCAGCCGGCATCGGTCCCGCGTCAGCATGCCTTGCGCCGACGCATCGTCGCGCGCTACGTGCCTTAACGCGTGGCAGAGTTCGCACGCGTCACATCGCATCGTCGCAAGTCGCCGCAGGCGCGACGTCGCATGACCGATGCTGGTTGGTACAGCCTATACGTTGTGGTGTAGTAGTGAGTGCCTGCGGTTTACAGGTGAGTGAGCAGGGTTCGAGTCCTGTAGTCATCCAGCAGTTTTGCATTTTTCTAAAATTTTTGCTTGCTTCTGAAAATGCCGCATATGGACAATTTATCGCAAATCTTGCAACAAGTGATCAATTGGCCTATGTTTGGAGAATGTAGTAATTGCTTTAGAGATGAGGAGTTTGTGTTTGGGGTTGGGTCAAGAGTTTCGCCATTGAACCATTTATGCCTTTCTTGGAGAATTTTAGGACAGCTTCATTTTGTAGCTAGAGAATTCTTTCAGTTGCGAGATTTGCGATAAATTGTCCATATGCGGCATTTTCAGAGGTAAGCAAAATTTTTAGAAGAATGCAAAAGCGCTGGACCAACAGGACTCGAACCCTGTTCACTCACCTGTAAACCGCAGGCACTCACCACACACCACGCCGCCACAACAGAAATGCCTTGCCGCGCCTTGATAAAGGGAAGGCCGCTTTTGGGGAGAACAAAGGCTCATAACTCCTTTTACAGAAACGCTCCGCAGATAGCGGAAGCAGTTTGAGATCAGCGTACGAAGAGCTGTCTATCCATATGCATTACTTTCCATATGGCCACTTCGGCCAAAGTGTCTTCCCTGGTTAGTGTCATTTCCTAATGAGGACAAAACTTTGACTCAAAAACACTCCAATGAACTGAAAACTTTTTGCCAAGACATTCGAATGGATAACCCTGAACATGAAGTCTGCCTAGTACAGTAAATTTTCGGAGCTAGGTACACCATAGATGCTAATTCTTTGAATGATTCTCAAAAAGTCTCTAGTAAAAGTTGAACGTCCTTAGGGTGTCGTACAAAGTTTATTGTTGAACTCAGCGCTTGAGAATCTCAAAGGTAGTTAGAGTTTCATGAGAATTCTCGCCTGACTCTCAGTTCATTAACAGCCTTTATCTTAAAACTAATGAAATAATAGACCAGTATTGAAAAAAACCGATTTTTCTTTATAGTAAATAATTGGAGTTGGTAAAAAAGCTCCGCGAAGACATTTAGAGCAGAAAGCTAATGAAGACTGAACACTGCCTATATTTTCTTGAAACTCTAAATACAATAATTTCTTAAACTTACCAATTTGACATATGGAAATACTGATTGAGAGCACCTTTCAAATTTTCTGATTTTTCTGAGGCCTCAACCATGCCTTCCTGGAAGTTGTGAACAATTTAAGGATTATGATGTTATGGAGACAAACATCAACTTTTGAAGGCTAATCCGAATGCATACATAAGCTGATTATTAGCAGCCAACAAAGACATCTTATGCCAATTCTTCTGACAACAAAATATGCACAGAAACGATATCCAGTAGTGTGATAGCAATGACAGCAGTATAACAGTGGCGGACCGATGGGGGAGGGGGAGCTGAGGGCCGCACTTTGGCAATTACTTATATGTGTTATAGAAATGTGCGCTTGTTTACGATTGTTGTTGTTGGATTGTTTACACTTTTGATTAGATAAACTTCAAAAATTTTTTAGAACTTGGGGAATCCTCCAAAAATCTTTTCGGAGTGCGTGCATAACGCCACAACCTCACTTAAGAAAAAAATGTGTCCCACTCAGGGCCCGGCACGAGTCGGTCTCTAGGGTTTCTGAAAACGAAGTCTACCCTAACTTTCAGAAAATTTACGAAGTCCTCTTTGACCTTAGAAGAAGATGAAAACGAGAAAGGTTTACTAGTTTGAGGAAAAAACGTGAAATAAGTGTGAGAATCCAGATTGGAGCTGAATACTACATGCGCAAGAGTTTGGCATTGGAGCGCGATATTTAACAAAGTAATTCATGAAGAAAAGCAAAAAACAAAGGAAAGGCAATGATATGAAAATGTCTTCATGCTCAGGTATAGATTTTTGACCGGAGTATCCGTCCATGATAGAAAAATTCGAAACTTATGTGAACTGACAAAAATATATGCTCCAGACGATCTCAGATTGTCTGGTGGCCGTCTGGAGACGATCTACATTTGGAAAAGGTATTCCTTCACATAAGTTTCCAATACTTTTCACATAATTCTTCCTCAAATAATTTTCTATGCTTACAGTTCAATTTTGGTGTCAAACGATTCTGTGTGCGCTGTAAACAAGCAATTTGTTTATTTTAGCCTTGCTTTCAAATCGCGCGCACTTTTCGCCATACACGATTGAACATGTCAATCGTGTGGTAACCTGCCCAAAAAGTTTGTATTCGACTAAATGGCGCTCATTCTTGATGTTCGGCACCGATTCGTCAAAAACGATATCTCCTTTGCTTTTTGCTCTAAAAACGAAGTCCAGCCTGCTTCCAGACGATCTGTGCCGGGCCCTGGTCCCACTTCCCCGAACAGAAATATTGGGACCGTCACTCTAGTATACTAGTTTATTTGAATCAAACGAACGATAAACGAGGGTCTGAGCACCATATCCAGATGGATTGCGAATATAGGAACACCAAAAAGTTATTGATCTCGATTCATTTTGAAATCCATTTTCTAGATATGTTATGGCATAAAGAGAAAGCATGTCAAACCGTATACTTAATATCCCCATGGATCACAGTAATAAGACATTGAATTCTTGAAGGGGTTTTTGCGATTTCATTCACAACTGATTTTTTAGTTTGGTTCGATTTTTATCGTTCTTTTTGAGATTAGTCATCAATAAATAATTAAAATAACAAACTTATCTATAGTCCAAAAGGCCTTTGGCCGTTTTTTTAAACGCAAGTCGTAAGCGAGTTGTTGGCATTTGCAACTACAGTCGAGTAGATTTCCTGCTTAATATAGTGTCCCTGCAGACGCGACAACGCTGAGGCGTCAATAAATGCCTTGCGAGTCCCCGAACTAGTGTTTTCCATTGTTTTCTTTGCTTATTTCATGCTTTTTAGTTGATTCGTTGCTAATAAAGAGAAAAAGGGTAAGTTAAAGAGTAGTTTCTGTTTTCTGAGAAGTTCTATCATCGCATATTCACAGATATTCACGTGGAAGCATTTCGTCAGCTTCTTGTCTATTTTTTTCTGTCATTTCCTTTTCTTCTGTCACTTCTTCTTTCAAACCTCCTCCTTCTTGTGAGGCGTTTCTTTGAACGCTAGTTGGCTTGTCTTGCAGCAACTTCGGCTTTCATCCAGAAGAAATAGCATTTTAATCAAGTACTTCATATGATAAAGACAATAAGTCAATTGTAAAAACCCACTAGCGTTTAAAGAAGTACCTCACAAGAAGAAAGAGACATGAAGTGACAAAAAAATAGACAAGAAGCTGACGAAATGCTTCCACGTGAATATCTGTGAATATGCGATGATAGAACTTCTCAGAACACAGAAACTACTCTTCAACTTACCTTTTTTCTCTTTATCAGCAACGAATCAACTAAAAAGCATGAAATAAGCAAAGAAAACAATGGAAAACACTAGTTCGGGGACTCGCAAGGCATTTATTGACGCCCCAGCGTTGTCGCGTCTGCAGGGACACTATATTAAGCAGGAAATCTACTCGACTGTATAAGGTTTGTTTACGCGTAAACGTTGTCATCACCGCAGGTGCAATGTCGCGCCAAGTCCACGTTTTTCGTGACAATCTATGGGACATTTTATTCATGTGCAAAAATAGTAGAGCACCACACAAACATCGAAAAATATGCTGAGATTGCACGTTTAAAAACGAGAAACCAGATTACAGAAAATGTCGGGACAATCACACAGCTCGGAACACATTGCTCTTGTTATCGATCTTCTGTGAAAGGAAGTTTGTAATTACATCAATTAATACATATTTTGGAAAATTTTAGGTCCATGTTCTTAGTCTTTAGACAATCTCGTTGAGCTCACGGAACGAGAAATTAGCAAGTGAACGTGGCGAATCGATTTGACCACGTGGCGAATCCGCAACCTGTAGAAACCCAATCATGGCCTTTGCAGAGCTACAGTACTTTGTTCCCTATGGGACCACATAGACTTACCGCATTGATGCTGCTTGCACTTCGCATGTATTTTCTAAGGACATCGCCTACACTTGGTGAACGTGGTCTTGATAGGATTACTTCATGAACGGACGAGATGAAACTATCGAAGATATGCTCGCGTGAGGAAGCGTTCTACAAAACGTGCGATCAAAGATGGATTTCATAGATTTTTGGCACAAAGCCAAAGCAACTCACCTTTGATCTCGCTTTCCAGAGGTTGATGAGCTTTGACCATTCATTAGCACGAAGACGTTCGCAAGCCCGAGTAAGACGAGCTCGTTCCTAAAAATACCACACAATTTGTACGCTTTCTAGAAAAGCTGCGAGTTTATCTGTACTGTAAATAATCACGTCTAGCCAAAGAAACTTACATTCATTGTTAGATACTTCTTCGGTTTTTGTGAATTCTCGCTAATTAGCCATGAATAGTCGGGTATTCGTTTCTGTAGACACTCTTGAGACTTACGTTGTTCCTATAAATAAGTTGTTTACGATGCTGATAATACCCTGTACTTATTCACAAGAGGAAAATATAGTATCTTTTCTGTAAATGCAGAATTTCTTGGAACTACGAATAAAATGCATATGCATAAAGATCTGCATAAAAGATAGCCAGAATATGGGACGAGGATGAATTTCTTCAATGAAAACTTGGGAATAGACGAAATGAAGAAGTCTTTTCTTGAAAATATTGGAAAAACTTAAATTTTAACTTTTTCTTCACAACTTCCTCCTACTGCACATTTGAGAAAAATGTTCATATCGAATTTGCTTTTGGCTCAAAATTGATTCTTCTAAATTTTTGACTAGAAAATATATCGTTTTTTGATACCTTTTCGGTCTCAAAAGCCGCCACCGTCAATTCAATTTCGGACAGAATTAGGTCGATCATCATGTTATCGTCATTGTCCATAATTTCGTCTCGACCATCGTCTTCGTCCTTTTCGCCAACGATTTTAGCCGATGTAACGTCCGTCAGCCACTTGAGCATTTTTGGGGATTTGTCTTTCTGTAATTGCACAAAGTAAACTTCCAGAGTATATGATACCAACTAGACTTTGCAAACAAGAGATCGAGCAAGATTATTCACTACGAGGTGAAGCGCAAAAGATGAGCCTGATGGTCATTGCCCAGATCGGTTTTCTAATGAGATGATTGAACCAAGTGGCTTCGCTTATACTCCAGTGCGGGACGAAGGCGGTTGTCTGTATAAGCTAAGCGAGCACGCGGCGCGGACAGCTATGTTGTGACCGCACGATTCATGCATTGAGTGATGTAGAGACGCGTTTACTCACGCTTCGCTTATGTGGGCCAACGCCTTGTCCCTCAACAAAGCTTACACTGATTTCGAAATACTTGGAAACAGAATTAACCTCTGATCATCTTCAAGCGCCTCATATTTAAAATTGACTGAAAAGCGTTAGAATAAAGAAAATCATCTTTGAGGCACATTTGATGATTGGAAAGTTACGTAATCAAAGACTTAGCGAAATCAACGCCAGCTTCACATGTTGGCTATTTCAGCTTGCTAAAAGGAGCTTACAGATAGATGGCTTTAGGAATAAACGTTATAGCCACGCAGAAAGCGATCCTCCACTATAAAAACAACCTCTAAGTTTCTAAAATGCGCCAGGGTAGAATTAACCCTGGTAAAAAAACTAAAAGTGAATGTGCTCAATGCCTTTATGGTAAAAAGTACATACTTCAAAAGGGAGAAGAGTACATATACTTTTTTAGCTAGCGTGATGAAGTGCTAACGCATTAATCAAATGGAGCAAAAAGTACTGCTACTAGTAATCTGCTTAACTTTATATAGAGGAAATTGTTTCGCTAATAGTAGTCACCGAGATAGGCTGCCACTAATTGATAGGCTGTTGTTCGTAGATGTCACATTTAAGGTCATTTATTACATACATAGCTGCTTTTTTATGTGAATTCCTAGTGTCCTGATGGCCCAGGAATCCTCATTCAACAGGCTACGGTAAATTTAAGAATCTTGAGAAGCTCTCAAATTAGGTTGCGCTGGTTTTCACGATTACTTGAAATTAAGGAAGGGTAGTAACGTTTCAAGGAGCCTCAACTTATTGGGATAATTTGTTTTAGAAACAAATAACTAAAAGCAATGTTATTTCTTAAACAGCCACATATTAAATACTAGAAAGAAGTAAGCTTTCGGGATTGTTTATTAACTTTGTCTAGATTGTTCCCGAACATTTTCGCAATCAGTCTTCCTCATACAGGCTTCTTCCCACCCCCAATGAGATCAAGGTTTTCAGCAATTTATCGAGGATAGAAGTTATCAATCAAATAATTGCTTGATGGGTTTGCCAGCACTTCTTGATGGATGAATTAGGACTTGGATGCTGCAAGGAGGAAATTCAGGGACATTCGACCTTTGGCACGCAAAGTTTAATATATGCTATACTCACTACCTAGAAGTGACAAACAGAGGGACGAAAATTTAGCAGTGCTCCATCACTTTTCAACTTGTTAGATTTTTTACTTTTTCTGGGTTAAATTGCAAAACGATTTTGTAGCTTAGAAATCGAATGAATAACTGAAAATAGGGTGTGAAATTCTCTTTTGGGTCACAAGCTTTAAAAAAGCTTTATAAAGTCAAGAAGCATCCCTAAAATTTTATGGAAGCTTCAAAACGCTGTGTTCCTTCATTTTGAAATTTTGATTCTTCTCTTCCCTAACTATCCTCCTTTCGATTAAAAACTTACACTACTACGCCATTGAAATTAGATGCTTTTTTTTTCAATTTGAGGCAATGAGTATAGTGTGACAGATCTGGAACTTTTTTGAAAATATTTCACTGTGAAAACGTTGAATTGTGCAATGAAATTCAGATCTCGTCTGAAGACGCTATAATTTTGATTCTCCCTTTTTATTAGAACTCAGGATTTTACTTGTCGTCATATGTTCGCAGGGTACAAAGATATATACAGTATTGGAATTCTTGCCTGTACTCTTTTGTTTCGAATTAACTACCAAAAATCTTAGACAAAAGCTGCCTATCTGGGGTGTTTTTCTAGTAGAGATCTAGGTCGGTTATATCTTGGGTTTCTGCATCTTAGGTATTATGATAAGTAATCGAATCAGAAATTTAGAGCGGAAATACATTCTAAATGAGTCAGGGTCCTATGAATGCCGTAATCACCATATTTACAAAGGATTACTGTACCTGAAAATGAAGCTGAAGTTATGAAAAATTGAAGAGCCAGAAAACATAGGTGAACATCTCGCTGAGAACACAGAAATGATAATTTCTCAGCTATTTTATATTAGTTCAGCTGAGCGGCGTCGCCATAGAGATAACGATGAGCCGTGCCTCAGGCGTCAATCGAGTAAAGTGGGATATTAGCGGATAAAGCTAGAGCCACACACAGTAAAGTGGTGAAGCGACGATCGAAGAGGCTGATCCCCAGAAGAGCTGACGATACTTGGTCTTATGGGAGCAATTAATAACCAACGCACTGAATGAGGTAAAGGCTTACTGCAAGCGCTTGATGACGTTCTGTTCCTAAATATAATAGATTTAACGTCACAGTGACGCTTGAGCTACGAAAATAGAAACTACCAAGTTTGTTATTTTGGGTTACACGTGAGAGCGATGCTTTTGTTGATTTACAATCGCCTTCATTTCAAAAGGCATTCTGTGTAATTGCACTCTCAAAGTTTGCAGTAGAGCAGGCTGCTGAGAGTAACTGATTGCACGGTAGGATAAGCTGCCCCACAACGACAATACGTAGGTTCCAAGTCACTGCAAAATTTAGAAACAGTGCAATTACACAAGGTATTTCCTGATTTCACCTCCTCTGAAATTGTATCTCTATGCTGCCCTCAAATCTATGTATTAAAGCAAAAAGTGTTTAGATGAACACGAAATGGTCATTTAAGTAAATGTTTATATACAGGGTGTCCCAAAAGTAAGTACACACTTTTCAATCGTTAATATCTCTCTTCCCATTGTGTCTTTTTCCACCATTCAAGCACCGTTCTATAGAGGAGGCCACAACTTAGATATACAGTATGGAGCGAATCATCGATCGCTCTTCATTACTGTAAGATCACTGTAGGAACTTCGACAAGGATTTTAGATCACTGGAAGCCATATTTTGCCTCGGAACAAAACCAAACAAGCCCCAAACTCTTATGTTATGGTAATGGAAGCCGATGATTTCGAATATGAGATTTCTACTTTACTATGGTGCTTCTTTCCAAAGTTATCCAGGTAAACCATAATAACCAAATTTTTCAAAAAATCTGAAAAATTGTGTACTAGGGTTTTTGCGCACTCTGATTCCACTACACAACTTTTTACAAGTTTTTCACTTTTTTTGACGGTATAATCACATTTCTGACAAATTGCGATTATACCGTCAAAAAAAGTGAAAACACTTGTAAAAAGTTGTGTAGTGGAATCAGAGCGCGCAAAAACCCTAGTACACAATTTTTCAGATTTTTTGAAAAATTTCTATCAAATGGCATGTTTCACCATGGTTCCATATGCTGGAAGTTCTTACCATAATCCTACAGTAATGAAGAGCGACCGGTGATTTGATTGATACTCTAAATCTAAGTTGAAGCCTCCTCTACAGAATGGTACTTGAATAGCAGAAAAAGACCCATTGGAAGTAGAGATATTGACGAGTGAAAAGTGTGTACTTACTTTTGGGACACCCTGTATTTTAAGCATTTTTTCTTGTTGAAAACCTGAAGAAAACCACTTCATTTCATTAACTACATACCAACTGTGCTTTTCTCTTTTTGCTCTCGTTCGTATTTCCTTAGAGTATCCAAGCAAAGCTCTGCAGAGCTGGCACCACGGAAATATTAAAATAATTCCTCTTTGATCTTGAAAATTTCGCACGAAGCCCTCTTGACCCTAAACTCTAAATGTAAAAAAAAACGAAACGTCGACTAAAAAAGAGCGGCAATTTTTGTGTCTTTTCAGCCACAAAAACGATATTCCGTTCACTTTTTATTTTGAAAAGCGATGTCCAGCTTGACCTGATGCTAGCTGTGCCGAGCCCTATATCCATGCATTCATCCTCCAGTGTTCGATGTAAAAACCGGCAAAAATCAATTATTTGCTTCTACTCAACTCTATCTCTATTCTTGAGCACAAGTTACTATTACTTGAACATTTATTGACGTATTGAAGAAATATTGGCGTAGTAACAGGCAGATACATCGGTATAAAAAGAATACTAACATTGATATAAGCAATTTTGCAAACATTTAGTTTAATTTGCTCCTCTGTTATATCGGTCTTTCTTATTCATCCTTTCATTACTTGCAGAACTCGGGTCTAATTAATTGATCAATTTTAGCGTATTCACTGAGTTTAGCAATCTGTAACTGAGACTAGATAATCACTAAATCCCACAAATAGTAAGCAAGCTTTGAACAGCTCTGCACTCATAAAATATGCTACTAACTACCTTTTTGAATGTTTCTTTGATTTCACATATAGAACCTTGATACTGTATCTTTATTAGTTCAATAGGACGCCAAGTCTTACCTATTGAGTAATGCTTGTAATGGAACACTGCTATTTCCCAGGCAACTTACCTGCTATGATGATTTCTGTCAAAACAACAATGCAAGCTTCTAATTCCAAAATATGCTCCTTCCAATTGTGATTATAACAAAGTGCATCGACATAAACACTTGACGATATTTTTCTTTCACCTTCAGCAAGTCAACATTTCTAACTTTTCACAGAAAGAATGCTGCAGAGATAAATGTTCATGGTTGTCCTCAGGTTATTTCGGGGCAATCAATGCCCCATTCCCAACGTTCCGAAGCAGTAAGAAGCGCCGACTTGGTTTATGGGTTCTTCAGATAATGAAATTTTCTGTGAGATAGGAGAGTTTCTAATTGTTTTTTTTTCGAAATCTAATGATGAAAAGGTACCAGAAGCTAAGATCTACGTATTATATAGGACTATCGTGCACACTTCTGGTGTTATTTCGTACAATCCGCTGATCACTGGTGCCTGAGCGCAAAGTCCCTTCTGTGACGACACTGGACTATTCCTTATCGTCGACTACGTAATTGGCCAATTAGCGGTAGCGACGTAGTAAGGATTAACTTTAGTTGCTAAATACGGCATAAATAACAAGGCACGTGGGAGAAATCATGCGCTGTTTTTGTAATAATAGATAATATGCTAAAAATAGACAGTCTGCTTTAACTCCATAATTAGAGCCAATTTTCTAGTAAGCAACTCTGCGCAATTAGTGGTTGCCACCCGAATTGATATTGAAAAGACATGGCTAGACGTTCATGAGACATTCGATGTCAATTGCAGCTAACTCTCCTCACTTTTTCATGTTAATCACTGCTCAAAAATAAAGACGAAACGTACGGGCTAACATCGGAGACCGGACAAGGAAACGCCACCCATCGAAGGATACGTTCAGTACTGAATAAAGTGTTTTTAGGAACATGCGACAGCAGAAAGGCCGACGAAGTAGGAGTCTTTGTCAAAAGGAGTTTCGCCGTGAACATCGAATCCTCCATAGAACTGACAAAGCAGGACCATTACGAATATCAAAATGTAGATCAATCTCAGCCTTGACAGTGCTCGCTCCCCCGCATCAAGCTGCGCTGCGCCGAAGACCTGTTAGAGTTTTTTCACATGGACTTGGGAAACTTCCACCGAGAAGAGCATACCTCCACAAGGTCATAGTCAAAGCCAAAATCGGAGCAAGGTCAACTGCAGAACTTCACATTGGGGCCTATGGACTAGTGGATTGAAGAAGGGGAAAAACTGTCCAAGTTTAGACTGCGACGAGGACATCCGTAGTGATTCACTTCCGAAGTCCCATTCTAGACGCTGGACGCTGGAACTGCGAATCACCCGTGGAGAATACCAGAATGAGATCACCACACCATAGTCAACAGATGGTATGGCCTGATAGTCACTTTTGTTCGAAAGTTCCACACGGGATCGGATTGTTGCCTCCTTCGTGTCGAGCTACTTTTCAGGTAATGGAAGAGAGCATTAAGTCTAAAACCGAAACGACTATCATCACTAAAATCTGTTTTTCAGTATCCCTATGTTGCAGTGGCGACGAGGGGGGGGGCGTCGTCCTCTCCCCCGAGAATGGGTCGCGAAATTTTTGAAAATTACTTATATGGATTATAAAAGGCGCAAGTGAGCTGGTTGTCCTTGCACAATCAAAATAATTGTTACAAATTATTAAAAATTGAAATTAGCTTTGTAAAAAAAATTTTTGGGGCGTGGAACCCGCAAAAATTTTGAGTAGAACCCCAAAAAATTTTCTGAGTGCGCCACGCCACGCACCTTCACTGGAAAAAATTTTCCCCTCCTCCCCCCGGACGGAAATCCTGGGACCGCCACTGCTATGTTGGTGAGATACTGACATCAAGTAAGAACGAATTGTTTAGCACCTCCACGACTGCGCTAAGGAAGCCGAGGTCTGGAGTACGAGCAGTCTTCTATCAAAAATCTTGAGCTGTTACGCACGTGGACGAGCACGGCCACAGGCATCATCGATTGAACTCTGAGCTTGCGAAGCAGTCAGAGAAGCGATTGAAAAAATTTCAAGGAGAGAAGTAAAAGTAATGATTGACAACAGAGGCTGGAAATAGTATGTGCGACGTCCGCCAAAACCCCGTGGTCAAGACCAAGATGAAGGAACTTTGCCGCTCTGATAAAACCGCAACCCATTCACAAAAGTCAATCGACAAAGTCATTTACGATTTATACGCGGTTCTCTTTGTAAGCCACGTTCACCTGCCATTATGCCATCTCCACCCTCAGTTCTTCTTTTGAGTTTCGACATGTTATCGTGCCAATGACAGGACGTACAGTAGTTGGTTCCGACGGGATCAAGCTGAACTCATAAAGAGTTTCCGGCCACTCCTTATCAACATCTTGACAAAGTACCTAAGAAAAGGCAAGATCCCAATGCAGTGGAAGACCGGTAAGATCGTGTTCCTGTACAAGAAGTGAAACACCCGCGAATCGGCAAATATCGCCCTATGTGGTTGCTGTTTTTTGCAAACCCTCTACGCAAATCATTCTCAACAGGATCAGAAGAGGACTAAACGAAGGACTCCATGTGAACAAGCAAGCTCACTTCCGGAATCAGTACAGCGGATCATGTAGGGAGGGAAGAAAATGAGGTTCCACAGTATGTAGATGATCGGAGTCAGGGACGCCACGCATATGCCAAACAGAACAAGACTAGTACCGAGGTAGATGGACAGGAGACGTGATGCGTTTTGACGCTAATCGGTAGACCAGAGCTGTAAAGGATCGAACACCGCTGTACGTAAAATGTGACGAGAAAGACACCGAGTATGGTCAGACAAGTGTTTGCGGTCCTCTAATGAGGTCCTTGGGAGCGTTCCTTGTGTTCTTGATGCGGTTCTAAAACAATGGTCAACAATCGCCTGCGCAAAGGACGAATGGAGATTTCACTGGATTCGGCTCCTGTCAAGAGACGATCAGCGCGGGTACAGTAGTATAGGTGATAAATTTCATAGTAAATGCTCTTTTCTGTGCGCTTCACTGCTAATTACTGGAATAGTTCATACGCTGTGGAACATTTTCTTTCTATCGAGAAAAACACGATATTTATATATCTAACAATCTTCTAGAAGCCCTTCTCTAGATCTCCCTTCTCTGTTGAGAACCAGAATCCTTGAACGCGGTAAACCTTACGCAAAGAGAGCAAGAAAAAGTTTGTCTCCGAAGCTGAAACACCACTAGAATGGTCGGGTCAAATGAAGCTGTCCACATGCATGTTATCCACTCAAACCATTCTCACAATCAGTCCCGACTCACATCGATAGGATTTATTGTCGAAAGGCATGCCATCTTAAGCATGTTTTCTTTCGGTAGGTCCCCATTTTAGTTAATGCCTTTCTGATGCGGCTACTTGCCTATGTTCTCTGCATTGAAGTGCTTGTTAACTCGAAATCATATGAATCGGATGGTGAGCTTTCAACATGCATGCTTCCCATCTTCATGACTGTCCCAGTTCATCTACAGATGAGGAAAAGGTTGAACATGTAATCAAAGAACGAGATTCGAAGATGTCCACGAAAGATTCAGGAGATGGAGGTTGATGATAATTTTGAGTTATTTACGACTATTCAAATGCGTTGCACTATCGTAGTGGTCTAGGCTACCTATTTAAGAGCCTGCGCTAGTTAGACGTGACCTACGCAATCTTATAAGACTCTCCTGCGCAGCGTTGATTATCAGCCAACTAACCGTGGTCCTCAGTCAATTGGACCGTAGCCTTAAATCGGCCTGACTAATGTTTATGATATCTATTTGGTCCGAACAATCAAAGATCTATAGGCGATTCAGCGCCGCGCAGACTGGACGCTGCTGCGTCCGACCAAGATAGTGCGTCTATAGGAGAGACAGCAGACGATAAGAGGGATGAAAGACCGCTCGATTAGCGACACGCCAACAGCTTTCGTAGTGACGCCCTGTCTTTGCATGCGATGAATCGCGTATACCCTCTCTCGCTTTCTTTCGATCCGTATTCTCAGAGCGGGACGTCCAGGCCGCGCTTTAATCAGCAGTTCCGATAGTCAACAGCTCCTCCTGAAACTCAACAATTTTTTTCGGCAGAACTTTGAGGACTTGTCGAGTGTAGATGACATTATGTCTCCACGAAAGAATGCGCTTTCAGCGCTTCCCTAAAGCAAAATCTTGGTGCTTATGTAGATCCGAGGTCCCAGAAAGGTGGAAGATTTCTTTCGTAACCCCTATTCCCAAAAAGAAACCCCACGTCAGTCCCTACAACTACCGCCCCATCAGCATCACGTCAATTTTCGTAAGACTTTTTGGAAAAATATTGAAGAAGCACATAATAAAGCATCTTGATCTAAATGAAATCATAGCCTCTGCACAGCATGGGTTCCAAAAAGGAAAGTCGACAGTGACGGCAATGCTGCAATCCCTAAATGATTGGACACGCTCCTTAGATGTTGGCAAGTCCACGGACGTTATACACATTGATTTCACTAAAGCGTTTGATAAGGTTTTGCACAAAAATTAGTTTATAAACTAAAAATGGTTGGATTACACCCGTGTATTGTTTCGTGGATTCAAGCCTTTCTGTCCAAACGCACTTTTCGAGTTCGTGTTAATGGAGCTTTTTCTAGTCCAAGATATATGACCAGTGGTGTACCTCAGGGAGGGTGGGGGGTTCTTTCTCCAATCCTATTCAATATTTACACTTATGAACTACCCCAACTTGTTTGCAACGCTGGAGTCTCATGCTGTGCATTTGCTGATGATTTCAAGCTTTATAGTGAGGTATCAGGCCTTGGGGATAGAGAGAGATTGCAAGGAGCTTTGAATGCCGTGGTCAGTTGGTCAAAAGAATGGGGACTACCCATTTCTCAAGAAAAGACTAAAGTACTTCACATAGGATCCAATGAGATTGAATACTTCTACCAGTTAGATGGTAAGCTGATAGAGTATGTCAACGAAGTAACGGACCTGGGATTTTTGATGGATAATAAGCTCTCCTTCAACAGGCATTGTGAGAGAATCGCTGGAAAGGGCACCGTTGCAGTACATAACCTTTTTAGAGCTCTTACAACTAGTGATATGGAGATTTTGATACGTGCATATAAGGTTTACATTCAACCATTACTTGAGTATGGTACTGTCATTTTCAATCCTTCCTTGAGTTACGTGGCCCACCGGATAGAGAAAGTTCAAAATAGCTTTACCAGGATGTTGCTCATACGTAAGAAAGGGTTTATGTACAATCAATTACCGGACTTCAATATTCGCAATCAAAGGTTGGGGCTGGAAAATCTAAGCGTTAGACGACGAAAGTTTGATCTTTTGATGGCACATAAAATATAATATTATTCGGAGGTTGTCGAATGAATCCGGCGGATCTCTTTGAGCGCAGGGACTCCATAACAAGGGGCGGTCCAAGATAACAAGATAACTGTTACGAGTCCATTGCAAGCCGATCATCTTGTATTTCGGTTGTGATAGTTTTCCGACTCGACTAATCGCGAGCAGCTAAACCAAAATGCAAGGTGATCGGCATGCAATGGACTCGTGTCAGTTGTCTTGTTGAGAGCGACGCGGGCCTTTACGACCTAGGGCCCCAGGCATATACTCTGCGCGACTTAGTTGTGAAACGATCTAGCAACCATATGACTCGTCATAAGTCACTCGTCCCAGTATTTCTATTCGGCGGAAAGGAAGGGAGGGGGGAGATTTTTTTTTTTGAGAAAGTGCGTGCCGTTAGCGGTGCCGTAGGCAATCTGAAATGATTCGAATCCGGCTTCCCATGGTGACTTTGGTTAGTTTTCAAAAAATACCTTTGGTATTGTATACTGCATCCTCAGAAAGAAAATTCTGAGAATTTCAGGGATAATATCATATGGCATTCGTAAAAATTCTAATCACTGTTTAGACCTCATTCCTGTTATTGATGCCGACGTGGATCATATCGAGGACGTACCAAACCCGGATGACACAACCGATGACGCATTTATTATAAAGGAAGAGATCAGAGGAAGACCAGAACGTGTGGCAAAACGAGGTAAGTTGTATGATTTGGAAGAAAAACGAGATTTCTAAAGAAATAATTGAATCGGTGTCATGAATTTATAGGCTATGCTCCTAAAAATCATTTGGAAATTTTTTTTTCAGAAGCTGAGTCCCTTTCGCTACAGCGATCAGCGCTTGATGAGCCGAAAAAGGTTGAAATCCCCAAAATCGTCTCGGACAGGAAATGTATGTGGAAGATCACTGTAGATGTAACATCGCTACATTTTTTTGCTTTATAGACGAGGAGGAAATTGACTTCCCGCTCTGGATTTTTCTTCTGCTCGTTCCTCTCGTAGTCACTCTCATTATCGCCATCGGTTGTTTCGCATTTTACAAACGTGCTTATGTAAGTTAAGCTGATTTCAGTGCAAGAGATAAGGGGGGGGGGATGGAGAGCGGGGAAGGGGGTAAGGGAGCAAGGGAATGATGTACAAGCACTCAAAAGTAATGTGCTACAAAGTATATTGCTTAAAAAAATTTACAATACGCATAAAAAGTCTGAAACGGATTATTTTTGTTCACATAATCAATATGAGACAAGAAAATTCATGTTTTCCGAGTCTTGCATAACACACAAAAATTTTAATATACATGTCCATCCGTAGTTCCAAAAAAATCATCAGGACAAAGTAGCCAAAGAGAATGAGGAGAAGAAAGCTATGGAAAAAGCAATTCAATCCAAAAAAGAGGCAGACGAGCGACAGAAAGCTGGTTTACCAATGTCTGCTTTGGATTTGGTAAATAGGTTAAATCCAAAAGTCATTTGGAAAATATATTTTTTGAGGATCCAACCGGGCATCCGTGAGTCGATTATCTGTCAAGCTACATCAATTACATGATTACATGATATCTAACACTACATATCTTGAAAATCTTTAAATGGCATAATTTCCAGGGTAGGAATCAAGGTAATGCGAGATCCGGATCTTGATTCAGCCGCGAGAGAAGAGGTAACAACTTTTATCGTCTACACTCTAATTTTCGACCAATGCGGATACCCATATGAGCGAAACGTGGCGTGCGCAGGTAGCGGCCACGCATGCTCTCCACGCGCTCCAGCGCTAGTATGTGCTCCACTGCAAGGCACGCTTCTGGTTCGCGACGATGAAGTGTCCGCCTCCGTCCAGAACAAGACCCTAAAATTATTTATTTACATTGCAGGCACCAAGAGTATATAGAATGATCTACACAAAAAATAAATGGAAAACAGTTGATAGGGTAAGAAAAAAGCTTGTTTTGTCTTCATTTTGAAAAAAATACTTTTAGGTGCCATCCGACATGTCATTCGAGATCCCATCGGATTCATTCTGTGCAAGCTAATATCACCCCCAATGATCATTAATCCGATCTGTCAAATGTCCTTCATCGTCATTTCTTTCGTTTCGATGATAAACATTGTGAACGAGTTTTTCATGCGGTGTCTCGCGCCAAAGACACATGTCTGTATAGCATTCCACATGCTAAGGATCGTATTCTTTGTTCTAGTGTTTTGTTTAACAACGGCTGGTCTCGACTATAAGGAGCAGCTATGGGTTCGAAATTTTCAACACACTACGTACGAGTATGCGCTAAAAAATTTTCAACGTCTGAGACAGCGCTACGCTTTGATACTCTTCGCTAGGGGTCAAACAACGGTGAGTAAAAACTTTGAAGACTAGAGGAGAAATGATTCTATCTTTATTCTAGCACTGGCTTTTTCAACCACTCTGTGAAACCCAAAAAAGTTTCGAGTATTGACTAGTCCTGTTTTATAGCGTATTTCAACTGCAAAGTCCAATTTCGCGTACGCAGGCGGAGCGCGGTGCTGCGCATGCTGCCCTACAATCAATAAATCTGATTTGTCTGCCCGCCAACCTCGCAGCGGTTGCTTAGAAATGGAAATAACTTTTGAGATATACCTTTTTTTGGAAGTTTTAAAATTTGACTCAAGAATTTCACCTGTCTCTTTGTACGGTTTGCTTGTGTTTTCTTTCAAATTTGAATGAGCTAAAATAAAATAAAACGAAACGCCTCGATCGATAAAAGAACCCTCAACTCTAAGTTTTATTATTTTACAGCCCTCGCCAATCCTATCGATGTCATTTGTCGACAACAGTACAAAACAACTTGACAACTCAAGTTACATAAACGTCGCAGGAGCATTCTCACCTCCACGAACGATCGACGACGATATTGGTCTTCCTCTCAATCAACCTGCAAACGCAGGAAAAGTATCTTTCAATCGCTATCTGGATCCTTACTTGATGTATAAAAGTAGAAACACGGAGAGGGAACAATAGAAGTGCACTGATGAACTTTGGTAAACGAGGCTTTAATAATCTGATTTCTGTCTTTGTTAATGAATCCTTCGATAAATGATTTCATTTTGTGTTTCTTCTCAATCGGATTCCTGAGTGAAAAGAGGACTGTCAATACTGCATTCGTAATGCAAAGCCTATCTTGCACACTAAGTTGTTTTCACTAGAAAAAAGTTTTACCAGAAGGAGGTTTTACCAGAAGAAGAAGAAAATCCTATGTACGTCCTGTTTGCACAATGTCAATAAAACACGATAAATATTAGGTGCGAAAAATCACATCAAAAATTCCCATTGAGAGGTTATTTACCACCCAATATTCCTGACGTTGGGTTGTTGTTACTTCTACTGTTTCATTTTATTAGGTTGCTGCATAAGTTCTGTCCGATTTTTTTGCCTCATATTTGAAGCAGCTGTTCTAAGAGAATTTCATTTATAATGCAGCCTTGTTGGTATCATTGGAAAGTGCTTTCCTTGCGCTTTCTAACGCATATCAGATTCCAATAAATTTCTTGGTGTACAAAGATTTCCGGCCTAAAACCTCAAAGTGGCCGAGGTACGTTCTCACCCTAGATATATGTTTTTGCGAGAAAATCTCCACAATGCTCCCTTCAAGTCAAGTTCTTTCATTGGCTGCGGAATAAGGGTGCAGAAGACTAATATATGCAGGAGTTCGGTTCCATGAAGAAAACGTCTTGCTAGTAAAATTTACCGTCGAACATTGATTTTTTGTATAGATGTTTTACAAGCTATAACTTTCCGGGAATAGAACTAATCGATAAGCTCAAAGTTGGAGATGCTAGGGCAAAGCAAGAGCTAGCAGGGCCCATCTACCAGTTCCTTTTCGGCGCTCACGTCAATTGTAAACTTTTCATAATTCGCAAATAGGCATGCACACATGTACTGAAGCGAGGTCAAAAAGTGGCTTCTTTTTTGCTCGGTCAAAAAAATCTCTCGACAGCGCAGACCTTATGAGCTCTTTTATGTGCATAATAATAATCTACGAAAATTTCTCTATCTATCCGTTGCTTAAAAAGATGCCTATCAATTTTCATAAGGGAGCGTTGCCATGTCAAAAAAGACAGGTCTGAAGAAAAACGCTGTGAAGTTTTTGAATTCTTGCTTCTTCCTTAACAAGGATTTGCGCAGATCTCAATAAGTGTTTCATAGCCAAGGAACTTCTTCACACATAGAAACTAAGGTCTTGGAAAAAGGTTGAGTTTGAAAGAAGTTACGACGTTTTGAAATCAAAAAATTTAAATCGGACAGAACTTATGCAGCAACCAATAGAGTCGTAAAAGTCATGATATGCATAAATGAATAAAGTAGCGAATTGCTGATCAAGATGATCTCATTAGTAAGCAGTAAGAACACAAAGAAAAAAAGAGGAGAAGAGAGTTTCAGATATATAACGCAGTGCCTAAGGTTTTGGACCAAGAACGTAAGAATAAAAAAAGAATTTGACCTTGCCGCTCACTCACATAATTGTTGCTTCTTTTTTCGTAGCACGTAGCGTCGCCACCCCTTCTGTTAGATTCGTTCATAATTAATGCACGTTTTTCTTACCTCATTTTTCCAAAGCTGCTTTTCGAAGCAGAACCGTTTTTCTTGGAAATTTCTTTAGGGATATGAAAGCCCGCTTCTTCTTCTTTCTTATATATCCTTTGATCTTCGGAAGTCTTTGTTCAAATTGAAGTTTCGTGTCAAAGACAAGAGACTAAAACTTGGAATTTTTCTCCATTCTACTTGCTCTAAACCCATGGAAAATGCCCAAATTTTTTTACGATGAATCGTAATCGCGAAGTTCGCGCTACGAAATGCCTAGCAAATCAAGATTTTTTGAAAAATCTTGAAGCAAGCAGGTTTGGCTCAAACTTGGCTGATTGATGGGACCACTTTAGACTGCATAAAAATCTTAGACAGAAAGCGATTGCGGAACTTTCGCTCTGCACAGATAGAGTGGACCCAGTACAACTAATGATAAGAAAACGGCACAATTTCTTCGTCTATCAAAAAAGAAGAAATGAGAGAAACGTAAAAAACACAGTTTTTTGCCTTTTAAAATGCAGAAAGAAGTGAGTACTTTCGATTATTTGGCCACATTTTTTTGCAGAAAGTTCCAGTAAAATTTAAATTTTACTACACGAATCAACCGACCATCTGTTATACAATGAGCAAATTTTGCGCCATATTAGTACATTTTCGAATAGGTTTTTCCCTCTCAAACTAAAGCTTCCCAGAAAGTTTTTTGGCAGTTTCTTGGCCAAAAAATCTTTTCCATAGAGGCTACAGGTATACCAAAGTAAGCACTGCATAGCTAAAGGTTTCCTGTTTGCATAAGTTTTTGTCACACTCAAATAGGTGTTATCGGAAAAGAATTTTGACTTGAAGTTCAAGCTTAGAAAACGAGCATTATTTATGAACCAACCCCACCTTGTGCAAACTCCTGTTCCGGGCACAAGGACCGGCGCGAATCCGTTTCTAGGATTTTTAGAAACGAAGTCCTCCGACTTTCGCAAAATTTTACGAAGCCCCTTTGACTCAAATCCAAAACGTCAACTAAAAAACCCTAGTTTTCATTTTTTCGGAGCCACAATAACGATAGCCTTTGCTTTATTGGCCCCGAAAACGAAGTCCAGCCTGCTTCCACACCACCGTGCCGTGCCCTGTCGCGCTCCAGTCCACATTGAAGGGTGCGCGCGTTTCTGGTGGTCCTGGTAGGATGTTTACCGTGAAATGCAGTTCGTTGGCCTAAGATTTTGCATTTTTTCTTGTCTTGTTTGGGATTTATCTAGTCTTTCGTTCGTTGCTAAACGCATGTTGATTAGGGTTGATATGTTTTAGAGCAAAGGGAAGGTTGTTCAATTTTAGGGAATGGTCTGTACTTTCGTTGTACCTTCCGAATTTCTGGGGCTTATGCAAATATGTCGCTTTTAGGTGCTTGTTCCTCCTTTTTTCCAAGAGAGCTCTTGTAATGGATGCAGTGAACCTCTATTGTCTAGTCCTACATTTTCTATGTTTTAGCACTTTCCGGGAATTTTGCGGATGAATTTTTCTTTCGTTTTTCGAAGGTTTTACGCAGACCTTCTAACACAATACTAAAAGTTGTGCTCTTACTTCCTCTCTGTTTTTACTGTTTCATGTTTTGGAACCATTTTGAAATAGAGGAGAAATATATCCCAACTATTAGCTTGAGGTTACAAGAAATGGGCGATCGAGGAGGTTTCCGAGGTGGATTCGGAGGTGCTGGAGGTGGACGTGGCGGACGCGGTGGAGCTGGTGGAGACCGCGGTGGCCGAGGCGGACGTGGAGGTCGTGGTGGTCGCGGTGGCCGAGGAGGACGGTCAGTCTTTTTCAAGTGTTATATCTTCTTTCACGTTACCAAACATGAGCAATAAAACTTTGTATTGCTTTTTGAGTGAAATCAAACACTTCTGCGTAAAGTTTGTGTTGATGTAGTCGCTTTGGCGGATAGGAACCAGTCGGTGCCAATGCATAGATTGGGCCGAAAACCGCCAAGAGTATATGTGTACATCATGGTCGTATGTGTTTCTTTTCTGAAGCATGTATATCACCATTGTGCGCGACAAAGTCTCAGAATTCAAGTATAGACTCGAGTAGTTTCTCTTGTAAGTATGTGTGCAACTACACAGCATCCAGGAGTCGGTAGTGGGGATCAGCTTTTTAAGCAAAAGTTGCATGACTTGTTAGCAATCAGTGTTCATACAGCTATGCTAAACAGCAAATGAAACCGAGTAAGCGATATCCAGGCATATCGCCCGATTCATCCTGGAAATTGCGTAGCTGCACCCATTAGCAAGGAACTCGATTAGAAGTGCCAAAAATCTTGCGCTATCGTCTCATCTTTTCAGTGGTGGACGCGGAGGAGAAAAAGAATCTGAATGGGTGCCAGTGACTAAACTTGGTCGCCTTGTCAAGGATGGAAAGATCACAACACTCGAGGAGATCTACTTGAACTCCCTCCCCATCAAGGTTCGTTTCATCCTAGTAGGAAATGGGCGGATAGGAACCAGATAACGCATCTGCGCTATTTGGGCCGAAAACCGCCGAAATAAATTGATGTTTCAAAGGTCGTATGTGCCACATTTTGGTGGCATGTATATTACCGAGATATCATACAGCTCACTCAATCTAATAGAAATAGGATAGTCATCCCGCGCTAGCTAGATCTTAGTTAATTCGTTTCAAAAGTTTGTTCGTTGACGTCAAGTTGAAGTTGATTTTCACCATCAGGAAAAGATTCCTCTGCAAGGCACTTGGTATCGAAAGCGTACATTTTGTATCTGCTCAGGTGATCTGAATGTTGGAATGTGTTTCTTTCCATCAAAAAAGGAAAAATTAAGAAACATTTCCGTGGCGCTCACAACCTCATCTTTTCTGGAACTTTGATTTGGTTATTTTCAGGAGTACGAAATCATCGACACTCTGTGCTCCAAGCTTACAGATGAAGTGCTTAAGATCACCCCTGTACAGAAACAGACAACGTAAGTTGATTTTATTTATCCTTTTACGTTTGGCGGATAGGAACCAGGTCATGCCTGTGTGTTACTTGGGCCGAAAACCGCCAATATCATCGTTTGATGTTTTAATGGTCGTATGTGTTATCGAAACGTAGCATGTATATTACCAAAATATCTTACAATCAGTAATTTTCTTCTGAAGTGTCCAGTCTTTCGATTAGTTTTCTGTGATAAAGTTTTATTAATTGTTAACCCTTCCAGTGCCGGTCAGCGTACCCGATTCAAGGCATTCGTCGCTATCGGAGATCACAATGGTCATGTTGGACTTGGAGTGAAGTGCTCCAAAGAAGTAGCCACCGCCATCCGTGGAGCCATCATCGCCGCCAAACTCGCCGTCATCCCTGTTCGACGTGGTTACTGGGGTAACAAGATCGGTCTGCCCCATACCGTTCCCTGTAAAGTTACTGGAAAATGCGCTTCTGTCATGGTGCGACTTGTCCCTGCTCCCCGTGGTACGGGCATTGTGTCAGCTCCCGTTCCCAAGAAGCTTTTACAAATGGCTGGAATCCAAGACTGTTACACATCGGCCACCGGATCTACCGCCACCCTTGGTAACTTCGCTAAAGCCACCTATGCGGCGCTGCAGCGAACTTACTCCTATCTTACGCCCGACCTCTGGAAGGAAGAAGCTCTGGACAAGACACCCTACCAGAGATACCATGACTTCCTTGCACGCAATTAATTCTTGTATTGTTGTTTCCGACTACTTTGTGGTCTCGTTCGTTAAGAGTAAAACTGTTATTACTCAAGGATGAATAATTGTTTTCTCTTACTGTGCATATTTTCCGGTGTTTTGTATATAAAATGCAATATTTTTGCAGATCTGTCATAAGCACTTTTTACAAAATAACAATTGGTCCTGGGTTTGTTGTTACTCAGAGGTTTAGGCGAAAATAAGAGGTCCACAGATCAATAACAACAGGCTACGGCTTCTGCATATCAATGAGGATGGTGTAAAATGACTCCAAACCTATTTGGAAGGTATTCAATGGAACCTGCTTCTCTGGTGGACCAAAACATCTAAATTGAGGAAATGGATAACGGTTGTATGTTAATGATACAGCCATTATTCTGCTGATGCCACTTCTTTCCCACATATAAGAATGAGGATGAGAATGATGGCTCCATTTCTTAGTTTATTTGCATTGTGGTAAGCCTTGTAACGGTAGTTACTGATCGATCGACATCCGTCCGTCCGTTTGGATAAAACTCAAATGTGGGTTAAATTATCTTCCCCGATTAGGACAAATGGCAGTAATGAGAAGATTATTGTTGAAATGATCTTTTAGGGATCGGTCAGAGTTTGCCGGTGTGCCGGTGTTGAAAGCGTTGCTGGTGTTGAAAGTGTTGCCGTTATTGAAAGCGTTGACGTTGTTGAAAGCGTTGAATGTAGACACTGCAGTTTCATTCTTCCTCGAGCGATCTTCTGGCTGGTGACATCGTTTGAAATGTATATGACAAATGAGTGATGAAATGCAAATGAAATGGGAAATGCTTTCACATGCAAAAGATCTCCATACAAAGTTTTTGAAAGTAGAAGAGTTGGTTAGATAGGCAATCCCCAGTATTTGAAAACGCTGCAAGACCTCCCATATGTAGGTCTTGTACTCAGTAATCGTAGAAAGCCGGATGCGACAGTTAACACGCATTACTCGGACTTTAGCAGCATTCTCAAAATTCAAAGATTGCCTATCTAAAACAAGTCCTCTATATTCCAAAAACTTTGTACGAGGTTCTTTTGCATGTAAAAGCATTTCCCTTTCAGTCGCATTTCATTACTCATGTTCCATGTACATTTCGAACGATCTCACCAGCCAATAAGATCGCTCGAGGAAGAATGAAACTGCAGGACTGATGTATACATTCAACACTTTCAACACCGGCAACACTTTCAACACCGGCAACACTTTCAGCACTGGCAAACTCTGACCGATCCCTTAGAGACCGGCCATACTATTCCCGTGATTCCTGCAATTCCGGCGATTCCTGTGATTGCTGCGGTCCCGTAACAATGTATATTGCGAAGAAACGATGTATACTGAAATTTGCAAGATGCTTCATAGTGCGGCACATCGGAAGTTGAGGAATCACAAGGATTGCAGGAATTGCAGGAGTCGCAGGAATCACCTCCTGGAATAGTATGGCCGGTCCCTTAAGAACAAAACGCATGGAACTGCATTATATTAGAGGTTCAAGTGTAGAGATCCCAATTTCTGCCAGCGCGCGACCACCTCAGGGTGGCACTTAAGACTGTATGGCAAATAATATATACTCATTGTCTTAACTATGCCACTGGTCAAGCGGAAACCTCGTAATTCATAGCCAAAGTGTAGTTTTTAACTCCAGCTTAATCCACAACCATTCCTAAACCAGTGTGGTTTTCCGTGCTGTAAGTGGTAAGTTCCTCGTTGATGATATATGAGTTCTCGCGTTGGCGATGATTTACCCAAGCTCGATCAGTTCTCACTCAGAGCTTAGCTCAAATGGCCTAGAGTGCCGACAATATGCAAATCGTGGCATACAGGTCATGTAAAACCTATATATTGATAGCCCGCCCTGCGTCTGAACAAGGTTTGAATAAGAATTTTTCCACCCAGTCGTGTTGTTTTCAACAGGTAGAGTATCTTTTGATAGGTGACCATCAGTGATAGGTGCGTCCTACTTGTCGCTTGTGACGTTGAGTCCCGAGCCTAATACGCTGCGGGACAGACATCTATAGCCGCCGCGCGGTGTTCAAAGTTGGTGCGGGCAATTTTACTCTATCAGCGCGTCACCTCTGCTTCGCAGAGTTCGCACTATTTCTACTAACTAATGCTTTCCTCGTGCTCGTACAGTAATGACTTTGGAACTCACCACACAACGCTGACCCTCACGAATGAACTATAACCAACTACTCATTCCAAAAATCAGGATGGGGGAACGAACTCCGCCAGTTTGGGCCGCCTCCGAGGGCTACTGGTCCTGCAACGACATGCAGCAACATTGCAGTTCGCCAGCGAAGGCGACTCAAAACTGGCGCAGTTCGTTCATCTACCCCAGAATACTCTATGTAAAATTGGTGACTTTGGAAAAAAATGTTTTTGCAGGTGAGCAAATTCGTTTTTGAATCGCTTATCAAATTTATTCGCTTAAAATTCGTCGTGAGGACGATAGCCACCGCAAGCTTGACCTCTGAGCAAAAACACTATTTTCTTGAGTATCATGACAAATTGACAGTCTAAGCAGTCATTGCTTTTGGCGCCTTTTTGGAGAAAAATCTAAGTCTTGGTGACTTTTTGGGCTTAAAGGCAGTAGATCGGCAGAATGAGACCCGTGACAAAACAAGGTCACAGGGTAGGAGCCCCCATATGGAACCTATCGGCCAAAGTTCGATCTTTCTCTGCCACTTCTAACCCCCGAAATTTCAAAGCGAAAGCAGCGCTCATCTCCTGTCCTCTCCGAATCCGCCCACCCCATGGACGAGTGAACGTGAAGCCCGTCATGGCGAAGACGCAGAGTCGTTGCGGGACATCATGCTTATAGCATTGCGGCTGGCGCTCTGACCGCGGAAGTCACTCGTCCATGGGGTGGGCGGGTTCGGAGAGGACAGGAGATGAGAGCTGCTTTCGCTTTGAAATTTCGGGGGTTAGAAGTGGCAGAGAAAGATCGAACTTTGGCCCATAGGTTCCATTATAGGGCTCCTACTCTGTGACCTTGTTTTCTCACGGGTCTCATTCTGCCGACCCACTGCCTTCAAAGGCAGCGTCCAGGCAAGTCTGGACCTATGGGGATTTTACGTGGAAAGTACTTTTGGGGCCCTAACTAAGCCACTGCCCAACCGGCAGCTCAGGTAATGCCCTAACGGCTGAGATATTCCCCTCGAGACTGGACCCCGCGACCGTGTTTCGCATGGATTCATGGCGCAAAGCGTGGATCCTAGCGCGAAACTGCCATTCCATGGGAGTGCGTTCGCGGGGACCAGTTTCGAGGGGAATATCTCAGCCATTAAAGCACTACCTGAGCTGCTGCTTGGGCAGTGCCTTAGTTGGGGCCCCAAAAGTACTTTCCATGTAAAAGCCCCATAGGTCCAGTCTGCCTGGACGCTGCCTTTAAGCCGACGGCTTGCGTCACTACTCGCGATTTTGTAAAACGAAACACGGCTGCAGTTTTGCAGGCCAAAAGGCACGTGGAACCATTTGATGCGTAGTTCTTGTAGGTTCCACACAGCGAATCCGCTCGACTTTTGGAATATGGACCTATATTCTGGCGACGTGCGCCATGCAAAATTGCAGCTCGAGACGTTTGCTGCAACTCACTCTGTGAATTTCGTGACAGACAGATATACGCACACACACGCGGACAGATAGACGCCTTAGCGCTTTATTATAAGTCATGATTGGTGTATGGCGCATTCCTCTTCATTCTGTGCAAGACTTGAAGCCGCTTTGCACACATTGTCTAAACAAACTTAAAGTCGTTCTTCTCTGTTTCTAGGTAAGGTCGGTTCGAGGGGGTCAACATAATAACTTCGAATAAGCGCCTAAAATCTGAAGTTAACGTGCTAAAATGATCGAAAGACAGCCATATTGATAGCCCATATGGGGACGGTTCTGGAGGATGCACGATATGTGAATGTCTATTTATTGACTGCTGCTCTCAAGACATCTCATACATCATGTGCTGTTTCGAAGCATGCATCTTGGACTCAAAGATGAGCTGCAGCTGCGCATGGGTTATAAACCGAAGCAAAATCTGGAACAGATGCACAGTGATCGGTGGCTATTTGACGGTTTTCGCGCTACTGTGCAGAACGTTTCGCGTCGCGTGCTTGCGTCGCGTCAATGTCTTCATCACCGCGAGCGTTCAAATTTCGATTCCGGCGTCTCTCATGCATCGTAAAATCTTTCTTTCTTGCAGTTTTAGAGGAGTTTTGGTGGCATTTTGAGTTCAGGCACAAATATTCAGGGCTAGGTAGGTTTATGTGGAAGTCCGTTTCGTTGTGTTTTGCGTAGATTCCAAAGCAAAAGGGAGCGTGTCCTGCTGTCCACCATCTCTTCTTCTGCGACCTTTGATATACCGTTGAAATCCAGTATAAGCTTTTTGGAAGTACTATACTGCTAAGTAATGGAGACCCAACAGTTCCTAGAATTTCTTTTTCTTGTACGATTATATCCTATCTCTTGTCGCATATCTCTTTCTTGAGGCAAAATGGATGCTTTTGTCACAATTCTTGTACGTTTGAAACTGTTTTTATAGAGAAATGGAAGACGTGAAACCTCACATGAGCTTCTCGAGTGATGAATCGCGTAGAGTCATGCAGATTTATGGAGCTTTTTCAGAAAGAGACGGCTCTAACCCGGTGCCAATTCCACTTCCAGGTGAACGTTCGTGTATGAGTCAAAAAACTCTGTCCTTATCATTGATCTACAGAAGATATTTCTTATTTTAGCCTTACTGAATGTTTGTGAACAAATGGAGCGCATGCGTATGTCATGGAAAGCGGCAGAGGAGAAAGCAGCTTATTTTGAAGAGCAATACAAAAAATTATCATCTGAGCATGAGTGAGTATATTTCCCAAAGCAGATTTATTACACAAGTTCAGCATCTTCGTAACGCATGATTTGCAGAAATGTCACCAGAGAGTTACGTCAGTGTAAAGCCGCGCTTAATGACGCTCGTGTACAAATGAGGGCTCAAATAGCTGAAATTAATGCACGTCGAGCAGATATTGAAGAAATGGATCAGAGGCTCAAACTAGTCAGCGAATGTTTGAAGGTGTGCTTTCATTCTTGATCTTCTGATCGCTTCAGCTTTCACTCATTACTCTACCCTACTTTCAGTCGGATCTTGATAAGCTTCCCGCGGAGAAGAGTCGACAACTTGCGTTTTTAAACAATCCAGAATTAGTGCGAACAAATTCTAAGCGAGTAATTCGAGAACATTATATGGAGGTTTGCCAGTCACTCTGAAAATGCGCTTTACTTGATAGATGTTTTATCACAAGAACCATTTTAGGATGGTGATACAGAAGAAACGGGTATGGATTATGATGTCAGCGGTGATACGTTAGATACGCTAGATGAACTCGAAGAACAAGAATGGTGAGAACTTTCAAACTATTAGTGGTAGGATTATTGACAGGTTGTAATTGTAGTGTAAACATCAGTGTTGAATCAAAAATCAAACAAAGAAAACTTGTGCGGTAAGCCAGAAACTCATTTGTTTTTCTTTCTTTCCAGCACACATCATATGCCTCCAAAGTTCGATTTCTCATCTTGATCACTAATAACAGAATGATTCATTTAAAATAATTTTCCTCTTCCAAAGCGTTCGACCCTGCTTTCCTCACTGTTTGTCTCTTTGTTGTGGGGCAGAGTGCGCAAGAAGGAGCTGCAGAAGTCACTCATCTCTGAATGACCAGACTTGAAGATATCTAAGCTTTCATCTAGCATTAGTTGTAAGATTGAATAATGTATGACTGAAATTCGAGCTTGTTTCAAACTACCCTATTTTCAGATGTATATAAGCCGCACTTTTTCAAGTTTTCGGGCGAGCCGCTAAGCAACTCCACTATGTTTCGGAAAGCGATTCTTATGCCGCACGATTCATTAAAGCAATATGTAGCACGGTATAGGGTGCTTTGGTCACGAAGTCTTTTGAACTGTTCAAACTGGTCGACTTTAGAAAAAAAAAATCCCCTGCGGCTTATACACCTGAAAGGGTAGTTTTTATCTACAACAAATGCTCAGTGGAAAATTGCCGTCATCAGGCATTTTAGAACTCATTTTCCCGACCTCATTTCTATCGTTCCCTCCGCATAAGGTAAAGCTGACACCTCACTCCGCTTCCTCATCGTTTTATTGTTCTGGTCACGCGGAAGACTTTTTAAGAGAAGTTTTCCGCGGAAGTGGTACGTAGCGAAGTGTTTACATAGGCTTACCTCTTCTTTGATGGACAAATTTCCAGTCTAAAGTTTATTTCTAATTTCTTCGGTTGCAGTCGTGATGTATTTTTAAAGTATCAAGTATGGCTTTCAGGCGCTCACGCAACCATTCTGTGGGTCTTCGTGGACGCCGGTCAGTCTCTGCTCATGCCCATCCTTCAAGTGCACCCAAAAGAAGTCGTAGTCGTTACGAAGGTGGTGCATCTGCACCTGCCAATGAGAATGAGGAAACTGTGAGTGATTCATACATTTATCAACAATCTTGCTCACCATTTACAAAGACAAACACAGCCAAGTGGCCATTTTTGCAATCTCAATTTGTCTATCCATGCATGTGTAATTTTGCAGCTTAATTTGTTAAATCGTGTGTAAATTTGAATTCGCAGAAAAAACTGAGCACTCAGTCGGTCGGTGTACTTTTGCGTGCTTTAAGATCCAGTTTTTAGCGTGATTCACCGCTTCCGCCGAAACGATCTCGAGAAACTACGGAAGAGATCACAACTACTACAACCGTGACCATTGATCCAAGCCGTAAGAAGCCATCTCAGGCGAAAGTGACCATTAGAAGAAGCATGAATAGGAGCATGTCAGCGAACGACATCCTTAATCAGGTGGAGATCTTGAGTTGTTTTTTAGGCTAAGTCTCAGCAGCTTCTATCGAAGCGGGAGTTACACGACTAAACTCTTGAGACCGTTGTAGTTTGAGATGCGAAGCAAAAAGTCAAGAACTGATTGCATCTACTCAAAGCATTAACTCCATAATGTTTTCGTTCAGATTACGAAAACATTGAAGAATTTACTCACGCTCAGAAAGTACATATGAGCACTAATCCCTTTACTTTATGTGTCTATCAGTTTCAGTTATGATTTTGTAAGATGTGTGATATTTTTAGGAAAAGGTCACTCCTGGTGGTCCAAGAACGCCGTTTGTACCTCGAACGACCAGCACACTGGAGCTGTAAGTAGCATCATACTTATTGTCTGTTATGTTGACTGACATTTTCTACATTGACTATCCATAGAGGTATAGAGGATACACAGTAACGATCTCAAAATTTCTTGGAGGGGGGAGGGAACAAGGTTCCTGTTTGAATAAAGGTGCGTGACATTAGTCACGCGTTCCGAAAAATTTCTTTGTGACTTTTCAAGAACTTGTGCGCCTATAACCCCGAAATTCTAGAACAAGAGCCTGACGGTAGCCACGCTTCCGAGAAGTTTTTTTTACAATGCTAATTTGAACTTTTTAAAGAATTTCAAAAATCATTCCAATTATCTACAAGTATAAACAAGTCACTTACGCATTTTATAACTCTTGTAAACAATTCTCGAAATTTTTGCGACTCAATCTTGAATGAAAGATCTCCTTATCCCTCCCTCAGTACGCCACTGAGGGTATAGGAACAAACAAGAGACTGAGACTCCTACACAGCGACCTCCCTTGTTTGCTTTTTTCCTAAACACGTATGCATCACTGTTAAATTTCAACGAGGCTTACAAACCCAAAACTGACCTCCATCGTTGACTGTAATCTGTGTGGGAGAGGTAGAGGGGAAGATTTTGGAGTGAGAGATTATGACGTCACTCCTGCCTAAGAGTTTTTCCGCTGACAACATTCTCGGCAATTTCATGCAAAGACATGTCTAGGAGTCGTTAATTGCGATAGATAAAGATGTTGTTTATATGAACGTGACAAACTTGCTCGCCCCTTTTCTCCCATCTATTCGTTTTTCGACTGCTAGTGAAAATTCAGCTTTCTAACTTTACGAATAGTTTTGTGTCTAGGATCGATGATGGTATATTTGAAGGCCTTGATGAGTGGTAATGTTCCGCTATACTTACTACTTGTTATTTTTTCTTCAAAATGTTCTAGCCGCACCCCTCGAAATGTAGGATCGTGGACCAATGGAAAACCGATTGAAACTCGTCCCCATCGATTCCAGCCGCTTTCTACATATTTTAAGGTTAGTCTTGAAGGTCTATAACAATGTGCGTAATCTGCGATTACCACAATAGATACGGTCATTCATTTGTGTCAGATTGACCTACTCTGCTATTTCTGATGTCTTTATATGATTGCTTTCAGATAACCTCTTGTGATGTCTGCCATGGCGGGATCAACTTTGCTGCAAAGCCTGCTTACAAATGCTCTGATTGTCTTCAGCTTGCCCATGTTTCCTGTTCATCGTAAGCCTTCTTTACACTGGTCTCAAAAGTTATTTTTGAATTTGCTTTGCAGGCGGCTTTTGCTACCATGTGTGCCTCGCTCAATGATATTCCCGCGCACACCAAGCAAAAGGAATGTGCAGATCTATCAGCTACAGGTCTGCTTTATCTGTTTTTATATATGTTTTCGTTGGAGATTTTGAATGGTGCACATTGTGCAGGAATTCTGTCCTTCAACACCACCTATGATTGCGTATCCTATCATTCACTGCATCGTGGATCTAGAAAACCGCGGTTTGAGTCGAGAGGGTATCTATCGAGTCCCTGGAAGAAAGGATCATGTAAGTTTATGGTAAATTTCAGAAATGCACTTCACCTGACTACACCTTACTTTCCCATGTGCATCTCCTATTTTCCTGTTTCAGGTGCAAAGTGTCTTGAATGAGCTACGAACATCACGTGGTATCCCTAAGTTACATATCCAAGAAACTGAAGTTGTAGCCGATGTCGTCAAAGCCTTTCTTAGAGATCTTCGGGTAAGAAACTCTCTTCTTTTCTCATTTTTGAAGAAAATATATATTGAATTTCAGCCTACGTTTATCGTATATGCTCAAAATACATAGCTATACAATGTATTTCGTACGATTAAATCAATGTTTTGGTCTAGGATCCACTCATACCTAAGTCATCTCGAGAGGAGTTTGTCCGCGCTGCTCAAACAGACAACATCTTAGCGTTGAACGTAGCAATTTGTGATCTGCCGCAACCGAACAGAGACACACTTTCTTACTTGATGCTTCACTTGCAAAAGGTAAATGAGCATTTTCAAAGTGTGCCCTTTCCTTCAGTATGAAGAAAAAATTGCTGCAGATCGAGGCGCTGAAAGAATTGAACAAAATGACCTTCGAGAACATTGCACGTTGTATGGCTGTGGCAATCATGGGACAACCAGCTCGAGAACGCGATATTCAATTGGCTGCTGACCTTGCTAGGGAGAAGGAACGTTCTGTACTGCAAATGTTGAAAATGTCGGAGGTGAGTTAATCATTTTTGTTTTTTGTTGTTTTATTAAGTCCGATTTTTATGTGTGTTGCGTTTTCATACCATACCATTGTACCCCTTGAAAAGATAGCAAACTTCGAATAATTCTCTAATAGCTAATGCATAATTTGAGTGCAATGCAGTAAGTCAGCGTTTACTCTTCAGTCGACTTTTTTCGCGATTTTTCCTGCTTTTAATCTGTTTTGAGGATTTTTGTTGCTTGACTCTCAAAATACGGAAGTATTTTGTTTTGCAGACGTTTGTGCTTGCGCGTGAGAAAACTTTTCACAAATGTCTTTTCTATATTCTATTCTTTTGTATATTCTGTCTCTGTATATGTATAGTGTATTCCAATTTCTCAAGCATATTCCAGGATTATTGGCGCCAGTTTTTGGAACCAGGTGATGCCCGGCCTGAAGCCAGTGGAAAAGGACGAACGCCAGCAGCTCCAACTACACCATTTGCGCCGTCTTGCGTAGATAGAAGTATGCTAGGCCCTGTTACGGTATCGCCAGCCGCGCCGAATCTTCTGAGACCAATTCCGAGACGTCCACAGAAGTTCTTTGATAGCCCTATGTAATTCTTCTAAGTGACCGCCGCAGAATTCTGTGTTCAAAAAGAAATCTATCAAAAATTCGAATTCACTACTCATTAGCGTTTGCAATTTAGAGAGTTGTTTGTCTAGATTTTTTAGAGTTAAAAGAAAGAAGTCTCACGTTCCACTAAAATCACGCCTACTCAAATTTGAAGCTTGCGTCACTTTTTGCTGCTGTTAATCTTCCTAATACTAATGCGACATTGGATCTAAGTGTTGTTCGTTAGTTATCATAAGCACGTTCCCAGCTCATCGCGACCGTTAGCTCAATCTGATGTGGCAGATCTGCTTTACAATTTCTCCTCAATCACTACTATGATCTTGAACATGACATCTCCAGTAACAGCACTTTATACAATTTTCTACACATATATTCATTGTTTATATTGGTATCATCTGGTGCATTCTGTATTTGTGACCGATAATCACTAATAACTGATGATAATACCTGTAAATATATGGAGTTACATAATAAAGTCTCAGTTTTATACTGGTCATAAAAAAAACGTTAATGGTTCACATGATTTTGGATGTAGGAATGTGTAGGGCGTGCACTATCTTGAGTGGATCGAAAAAGTTCGGTAAAAGTCATGCTTGACTTGTGAAAATAAATAACTGAGTTTGCAAAATTTATCCGGAGCTAACAATAAAATATCCAGAGGGAAGACTGAAAAAGGAAACATAGTGACAAGTCAACCCAAAGAGCCTTTCGAGAGAAGTCTCTAAGGCCGTTCAAGCACGCGTTGCGTGTGCGCCGCGGAAGCACCCTTGAGAAGCTGGCTGAGAGACACGCTATGGTTGGCTATGGGCTTGCGCGTTTATTCTAAAAACCCTGAATGATTTCAGAAAAAAAAAACCCGTCAAGTTTTGGCGAGTGTGATCTATGCGCTTTACGCGATGCACTGTTTTCTTCAAGTTCAAGTTTTTCTGACTTCGCTAAATCACTTGTTCCTCTGGTCAGAAAATCACACTTCCCAGTCCTATGATTTTTGGATTTGCGATTCCTACCATCTTCTTCTTACATCGTTCTTCTTAGACAATTTATAGAATAGTGCAAGCACCTGCATGCCGAAAAAAGCCCGTCCAAAGCTAGAGAGTAATGGATCACATGTGCTCAAAAATATGTCTGCAATGCGAGTTATAGAACGATCGAAAAGCAAAAGCTCTTAAGTCAGCATCGTTGGATGAATCGTCCGCATATCACACTATTATTAACGCTTTGTGCTTCATCCCATAATCCGTTCTCTGGATTTTTTGTTAGAAAAAAATCGAATCTTGTTTCACTAATAATGGAGCTTTCGAGAAGATGAATTGACAAGTTAAAGGAGTAGAGGAATCAGTCTATTAAAGCTTTGTTAGTGTTCAGTGTTGTAGGGTTAATTAAAGAATCAGTGAGCAAAAAAAGGGGGAGGGGGTCTGAAGGGGGGGGGGTCTGACACTGCTACAAGTGTTCAAGCCCCCCCCCCCCATCCTACTCGAAAAGCATTGAACTGCCTCTTGAATACTGTAGACTTTCAGATTTGACGAATCTTCTTTGATTGTCAACTATAGGTTACTTTACTCAGTTTGACATCACCCACCGAAAGCATAAATCCAGATAAAATTCGTCTAATCTGACCACCTACCGTGTATTTGCCGTATCCAAAAGGGCCCTTCCAGTATCAGAATGTGCATCTCCCCGAGCTGAGTCGAATGGTCCCTTGAAGCATTTGTCCACTTTGAACCAAGATTTGGCGATGCGACGCGGATTTCGGTGGACTCTGGTGAGTTCGGCGACTTTCTTGACAAATCGTGAGCGGTGCTTTATCAACCTAGAGTATTTAAGATATAGATATACAAGTGACTAACTATCGTAGACTGATTTTGTAATTTTCATTGATTTCTATTCGATTGGAGGAAAATGGTTTTCTCACCCTCAATTGCCTCCACACAAAGCTTAGAGTCCGGATTTGCTGAAAATTGAACGAACGTCGAAAAAAAAATTTTTTTTAAAGACGCTGTTGCTCTCTCTCCTCCTTCTCCCAAGGAAATAAATTTGCAAACTCGATGCACTTCTCTTCCGCAACTAGACGTATTTGTTATGTATCAAGCTATAAAAGCAATCAGTTCTTTTTTCTCTTTCACTATAAGAGATGAGAGTAGCTCATCTGCCATCTGTTGTTCATTCTTTCAAGAGGCAAAGAGCAGCTGTGCTAAGTGATTATGAAACAAAAATACAAACGGGTTTGGTCTGTTTCAAGATCAGCTAATGGAGAACTTAGTAGTTGAAATCAAATAAGAACATCTTTGAGACACGAATATAATGAATGAAATGAATTAATCTTCTTTCTATTTTATTCTTTCCTCTGTTTCCATTTTATTCTTGTTTCTGTATTGAGAAATGAGAAAGTCTTTATGCTGAACGAATCTCGAATGCAAATTCAAACCCGAACTTGTTTCTTTCAATAATTGCCCAACCGCCAGTGCAATTATTGCGAAGAATTGTACTGCATTGTCGATTCTTTTCTTAAGTTGAAATAAGCAATTTGAAAAAATGTAAAGTGGCGAGGGCATTAGCAATTTGTAGCTTTGGACTAGTTTTGCAAGAAATTTTGCAGCAATGAATTACGTGAACTTTGTTCTCGTTCAGCATGTTTTACGAGACCCCAAACAACATGAAAAGAATAGCGAAGAAGAAAACTCTGCTTCTTCTTCGTCTGCTCGAAAAAGAATTCTGCTGCAGCCGCGGGTTTTTAGTGTTAAATGTGCAGTCATGATTTGAATCGATTGTTATTTACAAAGAATAGCGATGAGTTGATTACATCAAGAAATAAAATCATAATGAAATCAAATCTTACAATGAATCTAAAATCTTCAAAAACCAAGAAGGTCTTCCGGGGAAAATTCAGCTTCCTTGGGAGCCATTGTAACTGCAAAAGTGATGATATAGGGCATGCTCAATTTTCTACTTTTCTTTCAGTGTAGACTCTGCTCTGTACTGTAACAGCAGGTGTAACTACCTTGTAAAATAACTTTAGAGGTAGATGGGGAGAGAAGTTTGCCGAATAAGTCATGCCTTAAGCAAAAACTATCGCAATTTGTCTCTGCTGCTGATTAATTAGTGAGGAAAATTATATGAAAATCAAGTAATAGGCTTTGTCAATAAATGTAGCTTTCAAGCTTGCAGACTGATATCTTATCATCAATTTGTTTGTTTATTCTATGCATGCCGAGCTGTGCAACAATAGCTGACAAGGACTTAATATAAATGCGCGAAAAATAAGAAAATAAATGAATAAAAATAGAAAATAAAACAGTAAATGAGAAATCTTTTTTCAGGAGAAAGAAATCAAAGAACAAGAAAAAGCTTATCCAGGTTGCAGTGTATTTTACAAAAAAAAACCAAAAAAGTCTATTATACTGATTTCTTAGGATATCGAACTGAACCTGAAATAGCAAAAATTTAAAGAAAGTGAAACAGAAACCTGCTGATTAATCATGGAATTATCAAAAAAATTCTGCAGGTTGAATTCTTTCCCATTATGCAACAAACAATCAAAAATAATGAATAGTAGAAAGAAATTCAAAAAATAATGCACAAAAATTGAGTTGCACTGGTAGATTTTTTGTAAAAAATTGGCAAGGTATATGGTATACATGTTAGTGTGTATGGTTTGTGTAGTATAAATCTTGCGGGAGTGAATGAGACATCAAATAATGGAAGAACTACAATAACAACACCACAAATTCCACGGACATTAGTGTTAGACGTGTACGCGTTGGTAGGCGGAGCTGGAGATGAGTTGTGCCGAACGTGTATCTATAAAAGACCGACGCCTGTTTTCGTACTGCCCCGATCTGCCGATGCCATTTAAGATGTCTGGTTTACTGTTTGTACTCTGCTCATTGTATTTTCTTCCCCCAATGTAAGTTCTACAATGTCATCTTCAGTGTTCTGAGCGGGCGTTGAATAATCGATACGATTTTGAATGAGAGAAGTGATAAAACGCTATTAGCAACTGTTCACAGAATAAAAAACTCAAAAACCTTATGCTGCGTGTGCTCAACATGTTAGAACTTGCGCTTATCTCGCTCCCGATGTGTTTCTACGTTGTATAAGCGGTTGAACAAGTTCAAGCCCGTTAAAAACGCGTGCGGAGGCTGAAATGGATGGTATAGTCGTGCTCATCCCACTAGTCGGTCGGTGGACGAATTCGAATTCGAACTGGAGCAGGCAGGTCGCGGCAGAGCACGGCACCTTAGCTCTCCGTTCAAATTCACGCATTCAATTTGCGTATTTCTTCGCCATTGCTTAGCAGTTTTTGTATTGTTACAACGTTTTTGATCTATATTGAGTTTTTGTAATTGTTGAGCGTTGTCTCCTGCCGCGCTTTGCCGTGACAGGCCTGCTCCAATTCAAATTTGAATTCGTCCACCGACCGACTAGGGGGGTGAGGGCGACTATATTATAATACGCATATGGTCGGTCCTTCGTAACTTGATATGTGTATTTCACACTATGCGCGCCACTTGACGATCTTTAAGACTGAGATCTGCTCATTTCCAGTGTCTTTGTTTTGTGTGGTTTTTTTTTTGTTTCAATTGGATATGTATTAGTTATTAGGACACACTTACACAGATTGTTATGCCAAAAAGTGCTTTACTACGCAGTTATTAGTAAGGTTGTCGTCGATTACCTCGCGTAATGTGCAAGCTCACATACTAAGTACTAAGCTCACATACTAAGTTAAAATGACTCGACAACATGCATTGCACAGTACGCGCCAGACTTCACGACTTGTACAAAAGCTTTAAGTCCAAATGGCTTGGTGCTGGAAGGCGGGACTTCCTGACCTAATTAAGGCTAGATAATGAACAGAGAGTATGCTCGCGAGAGAAACGCAGACTGCGTCATGGGCGTGAGCGGCCTTGATTAGGTCGCAAACCCTGCCTTCTAGCCGCCAAGCCAGTTGAATCAAAGGTTGTTTATCCTGGGTACTTTTCAAAAAACGGATCTCTATGTATGTTTTCGTCGCTATTCAACCTGAAAATTTTTAGATAAATTTCGCTCAAACTTGCCTACTGGATTTCGAAAGGTAACATATCTCACAGTTGAGATCTTTTGCCGTAAATATACCGTAATCCCACAACAGGCTTGAGCTATATGACACCTATCATTTTGTGGAAATCCATCATTTTCGTAATCAGCTCATTTTATTACAAGTGAGTTTTTTTAAAATAAACTCTGACTGCCTACCGTAACCTCCACAGAATGGTCGTATCATGCAGGTTAAGTGTGATACTTTGTTCATCATGTGGAATAACTCTCATGAGCTAAGTCTGAGCGCAAATTGTGATTTTAGGATTTTAAAGCTCCTATAGTAAACCGCTGATTTTTTAATGGTGTAATTGCTTGACATTTATCAAACCATTGGTTATTTCTCAATTTATAGTTGCACCGTAGATCTTTCGAAATAAAATATCATTATAAGCCGCAGTAACACATCCTATTGAACAGCGCGTTTCTCAGATCGACAAGCTCAATTGATTTTCGCACAATTTGCAATAAATGTATGCTTTCTTGTTCTTCAATGCTGGGAATCTTGAATGGCCATACAAGCTTTGTTCTTGTAGAAAATGAGCTTTGACTTTTCTGGTCTTGGCTTCGGTTGGAAGTCCATATGCTGAAAGGCTTGTGACAGATTCTCTGCCTTTGAAATATGCAAAAAGAAAGGTTTTTGAATCAGAAGCTGCACACTTAAACGAGATTTGCAACGAATCTCGTTATCTTTACAAAAAGATGATACTACAAAGGACACCTTTTTCTGTTTTAGAGTGAATCACGCCAGTTTGAATCACTCTACATAGATACGGCAGATTCATCGAATTAGCAAGGATCTGATTTGTGAGATAGTTGGAAGTCTCTAGTATGCTCGCGTATATACACAGCACCCCTCCCACCCCCCCCCCCCCCCCATGACTTTTGTACTGAGAACGTGAAGGTAGAAGTATTTACTACACAAGGGAATTGTGATGGAGTAAATTCTTGGTGTACTAAGGTACAAAACTAAAGACAGGTGTAATTTCTTTTAGTGCATAAGAAATCTCACGATGTACACTCTTATACATTGCTATTAACACTGCTACTACTTAAACGATATTCTTGCTGGAAGGGAGAGGGATACGAGAGTTAGGGGACTTGGAGACAGACGGCAGTGGCGGCTTAAAATTTTTTTTTTGGCGGGGGGGGGGATAAGTTTTTCTTCAAATGGGTAGACAAGCTAATGTCACACTTTCAAACCCCGCAAAGGTTTTTTTAACGACTAATTTGACCTTTTAAGAACTTCTAAAGAATATTTCATCAAGTGTGAGTTTCTTGCATAATTTTATAAGTTATATGTATAACTTTTCGATTTTTTCGCGCTTGTGTTTGAGGAGGGAAAGGGGAGGGAACCGGTGGAGGCTGAAGTGTGGGGATAAAGGTACATACTACATAGAGCTATCACGGCACTGATCTAGGTACATTGGGCTGTGATTGTTTATATTTCTGTAAAAGCCAAATTTATGAGTATTTTTTTCATTTTTTAGTTGCTGCATATTCAACTCAATCAAGTAAATAACTACTCAGATAAATAGATAAATAAGTAAGTAAATAGATAGCAGTTCAATGACTAAATGTTTAATCTTGCTTATCTATATGCAGGTTTTGTATGCTTTCGAGAAAACCTAATTTGAAAGGTACATAGTGGAATTCCCTTCTACACGACGCACTCTGCTACGTTCTCGAGATTTTGTGATTTTTGGTTTTGATTTTTTGATTCCAATTGCTTTTGTGTGTATGAATAACATCATAGACCATAGTGTTCTTCTTCAATTTATAACTACTATCGCCCGAATTTAGGATCTCTCTTTTGACACCGTACGAGTTCAGCCTTTTCTCGCAAACTTTTTGCTACCAGTTCTTTTGCAGAATAGGTGAACTCTCAATTCGAATAACTTTGCAAATTTCCATTCTCTTATTTGTAAAGTGACCACTTCCTTCTGAAGCAAAAAAAAACTGATATAACTATTCTCACAGCCTTGGTCTCCTTGGTTTTTAATTTCAAGTAAGTAGAGCAGCAGAATTATGGCAAACTCGCGCTGTAAAATCTTGTGAATGTTGGCATTTATAAAATGTATCCGTATGAATTTATTATATTGTGTTACGCAATCATCAATATTCTTCTCCATCGTTTTTCCGTGTTTGCATAGCTAATTCGCTAGCTAAATGATTCAGCGCATGGATTTTATCAATTCATATTACGCGAATCTGATTTTTCAACTTGTCTCATTGAATAGGCAGATTGTTTAGCTGCAGGAAATAAGTGAATTAACTTTTTACAAATATTATTTATTCTTTGAAATCGAATTAAGCTCATATGTGCTGGTGTAACAGGGTTAACACTAAGAAATAACGTAGGATTTTTTGGATTCTGGCGGTTTAAACAAGATTGTAATTTTGCTTTTTTTACTGAGGCCCAGAGAAGCTTAAATTATTAATTGAATAGTAAAGAGCGCTGCCAGACGATTCCTAAATATTCGCATAAAACCCACTGATAACTGGATTAAAAATATAGGATCAATTTCATTGCGCCAACGAATAATCTTTTGTCGCAGAATGCCCAAAATGAGAAGAAGAATTGCGAAATGGCAAACTCCGCCCTTAGCGACTCTGAGTTCCTGCTAATATTAAGAAGTTGTACATGGGAACTAATATGATACAATTTTAGCAAGTATCTCAAACCAAATTTTTGGAACGTTTTATTTGTTATCAATATCTTGCCATGCAGCAGTCATATGCATTAATCGAAAATTTGAAAATTTTGTTTCAGATTAGCAACAGAAGATGTAGTGAGCGTCGACTGGCTCGACAAGAATAAAGTGAGTTTTTAGACCAAATCTAAAAAAATGCACTTGGTAAAATAATGGTGGCTGTATGCTTTTTTGAATGTTGTTCGATGTCCTCCAAAAACTCTTCGCCAGTAGTTCGACAATAATAAAACCAAAAGTAACTTTTTTCTGAAAGATTTTTGGATGTATAGAATTGTAGACGGTGATCCTAGCTTCACTTGAGTAACATTCTTTTAGTTTTTCTTCTTTATCTCGGTTCTTATTTGTATCCAAATCGTTCTAGGACTCTGTCAAACTGCTCGATGCAACATACCAACCAACGTTTCCCAACTACAAAGAGTTCAAGGAAAAGTACTATGGAAAGTTCGAAGAGTTAATGCACCTCAAGGTCAGTGTTCTTAATGCAGATCATTGAAGATGTAGGCAACATTCAATTAAGAAGACTAAAGACTTCTTGCAAAGTTTTAGGTCATATCTTCTGCATTTAGTGCCGTAATTTTCAAGACAAACTCAATTCAGTTTCTTTTTAGACTCCCTTCTTTCAACTTAGAAGATGCAATCAAACTCTGTGATCGTGCTCATTCACCATATTCTTTTTCAAGCAAGCTGTAAACACGGAAGAAGCAGCACTTTTGCTCTTTAACTATTTTGAAACTAGCTGTCCAGTAACTTTGCCAAACTTCAGTAATTAGGGTTCTCTTACAACAGAATTTTTGACGAACAGGAAAATATTTTGTAGACACATCGTGCCATGTCAGCGCTGTTTTGTTCCGAAACTCGTTTCGCTTATGGTTCTTCCCTCATCTCAGTCCAAACTCGCTGTTTGGAAAGATCTCATTTGCCTGCTGAGTGGAACAATTCAAGCATTATAAAAGCTCGAGCATTATATTTTTGTAATGATCACGTGGAGTTTAAAGCTCAAATTTTAAAGTGGGATTTTACGTCTTGAAAATCGCGTTAGATTAACATACATGTGGAATTCGCCACTTATTAGCAGATTATTGAATTTGAGATATGTAAATTTCTCCCCTGACATTCAGGCACCCCCGATTACATACAGTATATAAATACATGTTTGTTACATATATTCAAGTACAATCGAAAATTTCTAGCCCCTGCAAATAAGATTCTATTCCCTAGAATCATCGAATATGTACAGTCCATTTTCTTTTTTCGTTTAAAGTATTTTTAGCCTCTAACGTAGGAATTTGTTTCAAAAGGCAAGGAACTACACTACCCATAAAAATACGAGTATGAAATACAATTTGAGGGTAACGAGAAAAAAACGATTTTCATTATTCTTCATTCTCAACAAATGATACCTTTTTTCTATTTCACTAAACAAGTTCTTGCTACGTTTTCTATGGTCTGATGTACAAAAATAAATCGTTTGATATCGAGATAATGTATAAGAACGCAGATTTTTGCAAAAAAACTTTTTTACCTCGATAAACGATTCCTAGGATAAAGAGAAAGAATATCGAAACAGGTGGTCAATATATATTTGATGGAAGGTTTTGGCAGCTGTATCTCACTTCCAGTTTTTTTCCATCTCTGTTTCAAAGCGGAAAGCAAAATTATCAAACTGCTATCTCCATAGAATATTGGTTGGTGCATAATTCAAAATTTTTGATCTTTTACTTCCTCCAGCCTGATGAAATCCTCTGGTTTAACACAAAACAGAGAGAGCAAGTCCTGCGCTTTTTGAAGGCGCTTGAGTCCAAATCCTTGATGGCATATGGCAGCGATATGAGGTGAATAAGAGAAATACCCAAAAAGTGGTTTTTCGGTTTTTGATCACCATTGCTAAAACGTCTACTGGAATCTAAATTTATTTTTGGTCCAACTTTTATGACATCTTCGTTCTACCTAGAGAAGTCGATAGTGATTATATGTCTTTGCGAAAAGTACGATTTCGATTTTTTTTGAATTGGCTTACTGATTTTGTTTCATAATAACTTTCTGAAATGTACTATAAAATACTACTTTTGATATGCATAACAAAGAGCATATTCTATAAGTTGATTAGTTGTTTATGTGTTTTTGAAATGATTTTTTTCTTCTTTGGTGCAAGAATTCATCAACCCAATATTTTATATTTTCCGGATTAATATTGAAAATTTAGTCTAAACACAGTGAAGCGTATGCGAAAGAGCACATTCCTGGCGCAGTATTTTTCGATTTGGATGCAGCCTACTATCCCAGCCAGTAAGTTAAAGGAACTGTAATAACATAAAAAACATCGAAAAATTGGTTTAACTTATTTTTGTATCTTCGAGGTACATACGATTCGATCTCTATCCTCCGGAAGAATTTGAGAAGTATATACGATTACTGGGAATCAATGCTGGAGACCATGTGGTCATCTATGCGAGAGCACAATATGCAGGAATGCTTTGGGCAGTTCGAGTTTGGTGGACATTCAAGGTATTTTTTACCATTCTTTAGCCCACTTCATTTTTGTGGGTTTCAAAACGTAAACTTTGCTTGAAGAACCAGTCAGTACAATCGTCATCTTTTAATGCTTGCTGTAAACTGGAATTTTTGTAAAAAAATCGGATTGTTCTGTATTGAATTGATGGAAACTCAATGGAATCGTCCTCCAATTAATTCATTCTTGAGGAAATCTTTTCAGCTTTATGGTCACGATAATGTGTCTGTGCTCAATGGTGGTTTGAACGCATGGAAAAAAGCTGGTAAACCGGTGTCAGATGATGTGCCAGTTGTCGAGGTTGGGAAACTTGTTATTTATTTCTTGCTGGGAAAATATCGAAACTGAACTATTCAACAAATTTTCCGTGACTGTAAACGTATTTGTTTTTAGTCTGGGGTTATGACACGAAGAAAAATGTTATTTTAATTATCGACGCGAAATTTGCTAATGTCGAAAAGGGCGGAAATGTTAAAGTAGAGCTCCAATGTCTATCAATATACAAATTTCTTGTTTTACAACCTTGAGCTTATTCTTACTTGCAGCCAGGAGATTGGAAAGCGCAACCTATTGACAAATCTATTCTTATAACATTTGAAGAACTAAATGAAAAACGACCCGGAAGGCCATCTATATTTGACGATTTGAGCAAGGTAAGTAGCTTTAAAATGGTGTTCTCAGTATACAGGGTGCGCCACAATTACGAACATAAAACCGGCTCAGCCAGCAGTCTAGCTTTGATATTGTTTTCTTGGTTCTACAACATTGTATCCTAGTTGAAAAGTAAAATTGCCTGTTTTGCTTTTCGGTAAAAATTCGTAATATTTCTCTGACTTTGTCGCGTGCTGCACGCGGGTAGAGGCCCACAAACTTGCCCAGTATGTATCTTTTTAGTGATCGCTTCTCTCAGGTGAACATTTCGCCATAAAATAGATCCAATCTTTGACTTCAAGATCACTGAGGTTCAGAAACTTTAGGAGCGTTCAAAACAAAAATTTTGACTATTTAATAATTTGCGTCAGCTTGCGTTTTTTCTGTCACGAACATTGCTTTTTGCAATTCTGACTTCTCTAAATAAAGACCGATTTGGGATCTTGATAGCGCTTTTTGTAGAGTATGCTTACGGCATTCTGTGACATTAAATCCAGACCAAATTTCTCATTGTCATTGTTGTGGCACTACTTTGAATATTTTGGCGCAGATAATTTTGGCGCACCCTGTACATGAGTCTGTTTTGTCCTCATCTTCTTAGTGCAGCAAAGATAGTGACTAACCCGCGAAAAACGGAACCAAAAGACCTTAATCTTGATTTTGATTTCTTCTAGATTAATTTGCTCGATGGCAGACCTGCAAGCGAATTTTTCGAGGGTAAACCACTGCAAATACCAACAAAAGGTTAGTTATCGCTAAATAAATTTGAACACTAATTTGCGCAAATTTTCATCCAAATATCAAACATACTTCTTGATTTTCGGGTTTTTTGGGATACAGAGTAGAGACAGTTGTTGTTGATTGAAAGCTCGTTCAGTTTGATAACAACTACGTATCTATATCTATATATATATATAAAACTCAATGTCTGTGAGGATGTTCGTTTAGTTGTTCGTTCGTCATAGAAACGCGCGCCACTGAACCGATCCGGCTGAAACTTTGCACACGTACATTTTCGACCCCGGCGGTGGTTTAGAGCTACTTTCCGCTGCAATTCGCCGGGCCATTCTATCGATTTATTGATTTGTTTGCTCAAACCTAGAAAAATGAAGGGCCGTCATGGCAACCGATCGATTTTACATATAAGCATTTAAGCAGGGGCGGTAAAGTCCATTTCAGTCTTAAAGTTGGTAGAGTGCGGCAATTAGTCTGAAAGCGCTTTATGCGCATGTTGGAAGAAATCTAGAGGCGTAAGTTTACAAGTTTTGTGGCTTAACTAACTTGAAGTCTCGGGTGAGACCGGGGCCACCAGCTAGTCATCACTATAAATGAAAAATCTCATTCTAGTTGTCATTATCATGACTTATAATAACGGGCAAAGGGTGTTTACGTGACTTTGTGTGTGTGTCTGTCTGTCTGTAACGAAATTCATAGAGCGAGTTCCAGCCAATGTCCTGAGCCCAAATTTTGCATAACGCATGCTACCAGCGTAAAACTCCACCATACGAAAGCACAAGCGGATTCGTTGGGTGGGTCCATGAGAATTTGCGCGTCAGGCGGATCCACTTGACTTCCGGGCCGCAAAATTGGGTTCGTATCAAAGCTTTTTGCAAAGTCGTGGATGTGTTTGGTAAGCAAATGTGCAAGCGATAGACTTACCCCGAAAAGTGGTCAAAAGTTCACTACATAACGAAAACGGTGCCAAAAAGAATTAGTAGCGTAAATGGTCAACCGCCGTGATTTTGCCTGAGCATTTGAGAAGATTTTTGCATATAGATATAGCTCAAGGTAATTATTGTCCTTATGACGACTAGCAAGCCAAAAGAAGTTTTAAAACCTATTCGAATTTGCATTTGTTCTTCTGCGAAATGTTCCATCCACGCGAAATCACCGATTTCACATGAAAAAGCTTTTGAAATGATTAGCTGTTTACATTTTATTCGTGATAGTCGTCATTGCACGGTGAGTTTCAAAGACATTATTAGGCGAGAACAAGTAAGGCAAATAGAGTAGGTCCTGTGCGAGCCTCTGCGAAGCAGAGGTGGCGCACTGGTTTATTTAAATCGATTAAAAGAACATGAGCTTACTAATGCAGTGGTTAAGGAGTCCCTGGTTACCACATGAAAGGATCTAAGAACCTGCCATTAGATGTGCTTATTGGCGAAGATGGGCTGAAATCTAAGGCAGTAATTGAGAGAGGTTACGCGGCTCAGCTTTGGACCTTAAATTTCCCACAAACGATTATTTTTAGCTTTGGAAAAAGCAGGATACAATCCCAATCTTCCAACAGTGACAATGTGTAACAAAGGCATACAAGCATCGGTACTTGCTCTAATAATGAAACAAGTCGGAGTGAAAGCCAGAGTCTTCAATGTGAGTTTTTATAGCATATGTTTCCCCAGTTACCAGTTGTGTTATCACTGTAAGGAATTTGAACTTTGATGACTCTGCATTTTTAAAATCACAACTTTTCAGGGCAGTCTGACGGAGGTTGCTCTACGTGCGCCCAAACTGATTAGCGAAAAATGATTCATTTGCTTCTTGTTCAACTATTGTTGTTTTGGCAAAGGTGGCGCTGTTTCCTGTATAAAAATTCTCTGCAAATAAATGTGTCTATGAATAAAGCAGGTTTTCATAAGTGTTTGAATCACGAATTAGGGGATAATAATAAGAGAAGCTGGAAATTTATTTTCAAAGGCATTGAGTTTCAAAAAATTTCTTACATGTCTTCCCTGCTCGTCTCAGACAATAAAGCAAGGGACGATCCACCAAAAATTCTTCGACTTCGTTAGCCTATTCAAATGGGCTGAAAAAATTGCGTTCAAATCTGGTGAAGATTGAAGGTGAACAGATGAGACAGAGACAAAAAATTTATGAAACTGCAAAGTTGGGACGAGTATGCCGCTCAACATTGGAAACACCAAGAAACGATTTTCCTTTGTTGGACTTCTAAAGTTCTCTTAGACCTCCGTGCCGTGCTGAATCCGAATTCCAAAACACGAGTTACGCGCAGAGATCGAAGACAGTGCTTCCAAGAAGAGCTTTCATAAGCTCGGTTGAGAGATGGGAACGGTATCGAAACTGATAAAGTGAAAATTTCGGAGCTACCTGATGGTCTCAAGCAGAACATACGCATTTATGCCTTGCTGGTTATCGTGGGTACGAAGATCTTCAAAGACAGCTCCTCCAAAGCATCGTTGCTTCTTAGACGATGTTGTGCTTTCGCTCTTGGGTAATGGTTTTGTTGAGGACTTGCAAGAGTATAGCATGAAAAATCAGGCTTTTTACTTTTGTCCGTAAGCTACGCTCGAAGCAGCTTCCGGAAAAGTGCATATGGTGGCTTTCTTGAAGTGAAAGCCCCCGACAAGCATCAGTAAAGACCGGAGCAAAGAAATGTCTACATAACCTTAAATCTCCTATGCCTCAATGCTGCACACTATTATCTTCAACATATATTTTGATACTGCGTGCAGCTGTGGAGTCCTAGTGAAGCTAAACATATTGAAAACTTTGAGAGTTCCAAGAAGTTACTAGTGGAATTGTCCTGAAGAGTTCCACTCTTGGTTGACACTCCAGAGGCCGTATTCATCATTGAACCTAAGGTAAATTCTACCTTGAGGTAAATTTTACCTCAAGGTAAATTGTACCTTAAGCGATTCGTATTCATCAATGTACCTTGAGGCAAATTCTACCTTTGCCAGTCTGCTATACAGTGACGTTTATCCCGACCACGCTGTGAGTCTGAGCGGTGCATCAAGTTTTTTATTGCCAACAGAACTTTTGCTAGGACAAAAATTGTTGCTAATTGTGTCCTTCGGGCCCGAAATGACATGTTTTGACAGAAAGACGGTTCGAAGTACCCTTACATGTTTGAACACGATAAAATGAGAATGTCTCAGATCTTAAAAGATCAAATGGAATTTGTGGCTATTTTCTTTGTTCAAAGTACATATTTTGACAAAACATGAGTTGGCACATTTTCGAAACTTATAAGCGGGGGATAGCAAGTTGCAGTGGCCTCGAAGAAATATGTACAGGGTATCGCAAAGTCTTTCAGCCTAACTTCGCAACAGTGTAACTTTGTTGAATCCTTTGCATTCGAACCAAAGTTTGCAAGTGGGTTTGTCGTAAAGATGACATTACTTCAAAAAAAATTGGTATTCCCATCGTGCACAAAACACCGGTTTCTCTTCATTGAAGAATTGTAGAATTAAACCATAAATTCTTGGAATGGTCCTGCCACTGAGAAGGAAAAACTTGTCGGATGCGAAAGCCCGAAAAAGCTGAAATGTAATATCAATCACTTTAAGTGTCAGATTTCGGTTATGAGATTGCATTTTTTACCAAAACATCGTTGGATAATCACGCCGGTCACATTATAATCACTGTCTTTTATTGTGCTCAAAAATTTATATAAGTTTAGCTTTTGAGTTTGAAAGGTTCTTACCCTGTTTGGTTTTGCATTATTTACCTGTTACTTGGCCCCTTTCAAAGTCTGAAACGATAATTGTTTCGAAAAAGATAAAAAGAGAGCTTGACCGTGCCAATAACTTTAATCTTGCAGACCTCAGTGATTTTTCAGGAGCTTGTGGCTGGCGAGTGGCGATTTGCCCGCTTTCAATGCTTTTCGGCGCTTTTGAACAATTCGGAGTTCTTTTCGGCAAATTTGGCTGTCCTTCAGAAAAAGAACTGATTTTATTCAACACATCCTCCCCTGCTTCCAACTGGAATGATGTTTGAGAATGAACCCCACTGCAATGCAACTCACCTTGAGATGTACCTCGAGGTAGAATTTACCTCAAGGTATATTTTCGTATTCATTAAAATTTTCTCTGAAGGTTAGATTTACCTGTGCCAGCATGATAAGGACTGACGTACATTAGGGGCATGGCATGACGTACATGCACGCTGCAGTTACTGATTTTGTAAGGTTTTGTCTACTTGGTCGACATCTTAGGCTCTAAGGGCTTCAATCTGACGAATTAATTGTTTTTACGTTTTATTTTAGATCCGTAGCATTCATTTTCCAATAATAAAATCTGCCTGTCTGAAGATGTTTTCCCTAGCTCAGTCGCCTAGCTGTATCGTGACAATTGGTTCCTGTTTGACATATTATTTTGATTTCTCAGCCAAGGTGGGAAATGTTTACCTGCTTTTTAATGATGCAACATCGATTCTGGGGGTGCGCAGAATTTACCCTATTTTCAGGCGTATAAGTCGCACTTTTTCAAATTTTCCCACGAGCTGCTCAGCCGCTTCATTGTGTTTCGAGAAGCGATTCTTATGCCGCACGATTGTTTCAGGCAATACGCAGCACGGTGTAGGGTCCTTTGGTTGCGAGGTCCTTTGATATGTTCGGGCTGGTCGATGTAAGCTAGGACCACCCCGCGGCTTATACACCTGAAAATAGGGTAATTATTTTCGCCTCATACTTTGGCAATTCTTCACTTTATTTGAATTGATATTTGGAAAATGTTCGTAGAGCTTTTTATACCAAAGCTTGTGATGGCAGATTAAGCTAAAATATACCAGTTTTCTGCTTTCAGAATAAACTTCTAGTATTACATGCTGCTTAAAGGCAGCGTCCAAGCAGATTCTCGACTTCTATATTTTTATGTTATCCAGGCCTTTCCATGGCGCTGATTCCGAATATGGAACTCAAAAAGCGTGAATTTCTCAGAAAACTACCTTTTGAGGCTATTTTGGGAAAACCCGGACGAGTGCTTCAAATGTTATCCTTGTCGAAAGCAAGTATTAACAGGTAAACGGTGTAAGTTCGACTGTGTTGGTCATGTGAGAACACGTCAAGGCTGAGGAGATTTCGTTCACAAGGGGTTGGGAGGGAAGTGGGCGTGGTCGAGGGAAGTGGGCGTGGTCGTCGAGCTCGGATCTGCCTATACGCTGCCTTTAAGCTCATATGTATGTTGATAGAAAAGGAAGAGGGAAGGTGTCAAGAATTTGGTGAGCCAGCAACGGTTATTTGATTTTTGCACTCAAAGCCAACTCTTTCGTCGCGCTGAAGACCTCGCCCGATTTTATCTTAGGCAACGAAATTTGGTATTTGGAATACAAGATTAGCGGTTAAGTAGTATCAATATCGAGGATTAGCCGCTTCGAACATCAGCGTCTTTCTTTTATACAGATTTGAAGACCGCGAACGAAGTGGTTCTGACAAGAGAAGTTCGCCGAATCGAAGTGGCCGATTGACATGTGGTGTATACCCGGGCTCGGGGCTCGGGAGGTTAGTATCAAATGTGCACCCATTAGCTGCGACGCGTTATTGTGAAGCAAGTTATGGGCCTCTGAAGTTTTTTTCCTGTGCATGTGTAGCGAACGCATAAACACTCCAATCGTGGTCGTGTGGTGTAGTGGATAGTGTCTCGGACTCACAGGTGACCGGTGAGGGTTCGAATCCTGTTGCTGTCCACGTTTTTTGCGTTCTTCCCAAATTTCATTTTTTACCTGTTTTATGTATTATTGAGGTAAAAAATGACACACGCGGCTTACGGGATGATTTTTCTCACGAACATTCGATCAAAGTTTCATATGTAAAATTTTCGGGCAAACTTCTTGCTTTGACCAATCAAACTTTATCCAAAGCCTATATAATATTAGATTGCTTACAAATAATCAACTATTGAGAGCATATGTGATAAGCTATGACAAAATGGTTGAAGCACAGGTACTTCTCGCAATGTGCACAACGAATAAGTATAAAGTCATTGCATTCTTCTATCTCACAGCAAGTTGAGTTCAGATTATAAGAAAAACAAAACTGTAGCGGCGTTTCAAAGGATTCAGGGTGCTCATCCACATACCCTGCGGCATGCCATGAGTATGCGAGAAAACCTTTGAAACGCGGCGAACAGAACTGGAAATAGACAAGTGAAATTAGCTTTAAAATCGAGTCTCTATGATGCAGCGGGAATTCAATTTCGTGAGTGTGAACAAATGAAACAAAACGCTTATAGACCGATTTAAATGGCAGGAAAAAATAAACATCAAGTGGTTGCACCATTGATGTGGTTCCCGCAGGAATATTCATAATTTTAAGACTTTTGCCCTCTGGCAATGCGGACATAATTGAATCATGATCTTTGAATGAAGACCACGAATCAACAAGTAAGAGAGTTGCTGCCGGAGGGTCTGGTGAAGCTACACATGAACGCACCCAGTCCAGTAAAAGTTGCTTGTTCATCATGTGCGTAGTATTGGCACGGATTTCAAGATTATGTGCTTCAAAGTGCCCTCTAGCGGGGAAATGCCCTTGTTTTTCCTAGAGAATTAAAATCAGGCATATAAAATTGTATTAATTCAAAGTACCTGTATCAACACATAGAGTTTCGCTCCAAGGTGGCCGTCTGCATACAGAATCGGCATAATGGTAAATGAGTGAGTCGTTGCGGATACCGACTGCACTACCCTTTCAACCTTTTTCGAGCCTTTCTCTGCCAACGACCGAGCGGAGTGATTTTCTTTTACAAACCCACTTTGATCGGCGTTGCAGATCAACGCAAGCGGCCATCTTTCCATTTCTGGAATTATGGGAAAACCAATTTTGGGCAGAACATAGCAACGACTTTTGAGCGACGGCTTGTCAATTGACTTTGAAGGCTTGCCAAATTCTCACTCCCACATA